TAATGAAAAGCTGGAGTAGTTTTTATCTGAGAAGATAATCATCAGTGAGTATTTCACAGCTCCATGTTCATTCCATTTTTTACTTTACAGTTGCAAAACATTTTAAAATTCTGTTGCTTTTTGAAGTTTGACAGTTTCTGGCTATCTTATTATTTCTTGAAGTTATTAAGGAAAAATGCATAGCATTTGCTCTATAAGCAGGTTTGCTTTACTGTTGAGTGCATTTTCTATGCAATAGTGATTGAAAATTAGGACACCACATATAATAAACTTATCAAGTTGTAAAGTTAATTATGCAGCAAATTGAAGGCAGCTTCATACTAAATGCACTGATCAAATAAAGCAACCTTCTATGAAGAACCCATAAAGCGCTTACAGTTTGTGTTTGGGATATTTTTGTAACCTTTTAAGCTATAAGTTATAAAATATTCGACATCACCAAACTGTTCCTCTAGGTTGCTGTGCTGATACAGCTACAGATTGTCTGTGCTGAAACTAATTCTGGAAACAGAACATTTCGCTGAAATAGCTGATTTTAATGCAAAACTTTGGTGATGCCCACTCTTGCTTCACAGTACAGAATCATTCACTAAACCTGGTTAGTGGCATCACATTGCTTTTCATACTTCTGTCATCTTATGCTTTAAGTTCGCTTTGATGTCTGTTGAGTATCAGAGGATTGAATCAATGATCTCTCTGTCTCCCTCATGCTATTTTGTAAAAATACCAAGTGCAGAAAATGAACATGGCAGTGACAGGGTTTTAGAACTCGTGTCTTAGACCTTGCTGTACTTTGGTTTGGGTGAGATATAGCGTCCTTTTTGAATGCATATGAACTCACTTTGAAATTTCTGATAAGTGTCCTTACAAATAACTAATCCTGTTGGAGTTCTCCTACTCCTGTATTAATATAAATCTCTTCACAAAGTGAGAAGTAGACTGTGCCTAGAAACATGAAACCCTGCAGCTGTCAGTGCGGTCAAGTGCACAGAAAAAGAGCTTAAAGACCTCTTAGTCTTCATAGTCTCTGAATTGCACATAGCTGTAGTAACTGCATAGCTTTGGGTGGAAGCTATTTGCAAGTTGAACTGGCTCTTTGGTCTTTATTGTTATTGTTACTAGCTTGACTTAATCGAATGATTCTGATACTTAGAAATGTATCTGAAGGTGCAGTTTATATTACTGAAGAAGGAAGCAACTTATATATTCTTAGAAACGAAGAATGCAATCATTGGTTCAGTTCTCTGTTATGTATAATGCATGATCAATTCTTATGTGAATTTGCTGCTGTGAGTGTCCATAGCCATTTAAGCAATTCTGACTGTTCAACTGTTCTTGACGTTACAGTGGACTAAAGAGGATGGACATAGAACTGCCACCTCTGCTGTCCCTAACCTGTTTGTTCCATTGAACACTAATCCAAAGGAGGTCCAAGAAATGAGGAACAAGGTTTGTAATAGCAGTAATTTTTTGTATGTATTTTATTATCATTATGTTAAGTTGCATGCCTCTAATGGACTGACTTCACTGTGATGGAATTTTTTTAGTTCAGTAAGACAACTTTGATATTGCCTTCCTCCTTTCTAGCTAGAAACAATTCCTAATTGTTCTGAACTCATCTCAGAAAAAGAGAAAAAGGTGGTATTACTTTCCACTGCTTGAAGACTTCTATTGTCTTATCTTTTATTACTGCAGACCAGATACCTCTAAGACGACCACAGAGTTCATGGCAGTAGTTTTAATCCCTAAAATCATGCTCATATAAGAGTGATCTGTTTCGATTTCACCAGTTGAAATTGTAGACAGTTTACAGATTTCTCTCTCTGTATTGTATTTTATCCAGTATTCAGATTTCAGATCTTCTTGTCACCAGTCTTCCAACAGGAAAGCATTGAATACATCCGTTTTATCACTTTATTTCTTTAAACTATTGTCATGCTTTTGTAATTTTGCTACTGGTATATATACATCAGCATCCTGTTAGTACTTAGCTTGTTCTTGGATGTTTTGCCTACTTCTAAGTGATGGCCATATGGAACACAGGAGATAGTGTTATGTCATGCTAAATTCTGCACAGGGTTCATGTCAGGAGTACAGATTTGTGCTCAGAGTTCTTGTATGAAGTTAACAGAGCTTTTGCTTTTCCTGATTCAGCAATGTAAAATAATGATCACTTGAAATAAGAGGTGTAGTGAAATTGCTGAGTGGTTTCTTCCTGCTTGAAACACAAATATTGTTCTATTAAAAACTTGAATGAAGTGTCTAAAAGGGTAGAAGTAAAAGTTTTGCTCTCCTGAGGACAAAGGCAGTAATTCAGAAACAAGTACAGAAGATGCAGGACCTTAGAGTTCTTTACTTTCTGAAATAAGAAGTATCAGTAATATGTTATGTTTGTATACACGTGTGCATGTATTTTTACATAAACAGTAAGTTCTGTAGGAAGATGATATTGTGGTACACAGGGCTAACTGACAGCAACCTGTAAAGGACACATCATGTGTAACAGACATATACAAGTGACCTCTGTGCTTCTCTCTTCATTTATGTGACTTGATCTGTACAATTTTACAGCAAGCCATCACTAAAAATAAAGAGAGAGCACGTGCTGTGTGGGCCGAATTCAGAGAAATGTGGTGAAACAAACAAACTTAGGATGTGCCAACCGGTGTTAATAAACACAGCTTTAATGATGGGTAGGGCTATAGCTGTCTACACGAGTTGCAGCCTGTTGGCAGGTTCACCCACCCCTTGAACAAAATAAAAAAGTTTCTCTTCTCTTGTTTACGTGACTGTATTCTGCTGCTTTCCTTTACAGATTCGGGAGCAAAATTTACAAGATATTAAAACTGCAGGCCCTCAGTCACAGGTTCTTTCTGGTGTAGTTGTGGACAGGAGTCTTGTACAGGTGAGAGTATAAAATGCCTAAAACCGTTTGCTTAATCAACCATGTCCTCTTCTTTCACCTAATGTGTCCCTATAAAATTATTCTTTAATTGGCAGAGAGTAACTTTTTATAAGGTAAGTCTTAGAGGTAACACTATTGTCTTTGCTAGAGTGCTCAGGATCAGAAATTTAAGAGGCTTCAGTCATGTAGCCCAAGCATGTCTTTGGAGGATGCTCCTCTTTTTTTTTTTTTTTTTTTTAATTTTCTTTATTTTTTGCTGAACATAGTGCATGAAATTCAGAAGGCTTATTTATATAGGTTAGATTCTTGTTCAAAACTAGTTGGTCTTTGTGACAACTTTTTGTTTGTTTGCTCTCCAAGGTTATGTATCTGTTTGAGCACAGCAGGCTTACAATGGGGCAGTAGTGTTGTGTGTTAAACATATGTTACACAATATTTTATTTGAAGGGCAGATTGGGGAAAGAAAGCTGTTATACATCAGTAAAACTTTCAAACACTATATCAGAATATACTATGGACATCAACTGTGAATCATAGCTCAAAATAAAATAAGAATTAGAGCTATGCAGTTACTGTGTTAAACATACCTGGAAGACTTTAAAATCTGTACATCTGAGTGCTTTAACTGCCCTGATACGCATTTTTGATACACTTTAAGAAGTTTGGCAAGTCTTATTGTGACCATAGCTTTACTTACGTTGGGCTTTGTATTGTGTGCATGTCAATTCATTGTCATTGCAGTTTTATCTACCAGTTACTGTTTCTTTGCATGTTTTTAGCAAGCACATAATGCTCTTGGTTGATGTTTTAAAGCCCGGGCTCGGTTTGCTCTGTTTACTCAATTTACTGTTGCAGGATGCTCCCCTCTCAGACTGTACGGAATCTATTGAAGGGCTCGATCTCACAGAGCAGGCCTTTAGTCCCGCTAAATCTCTGTCTGTTAGAAAGGTACTGCCCTGTCATACTGCTCTAAATACTGTTGTTCACCCTTCATTTTACCTCTTCCTTACCCTGACCTCTTCCCTCTGTTAGCTTATGATTTAGCTATAGAAAAAAATAAGATGGATCTCCCAATTATGTATTTGCAATTATACAAGCAGTTGCTTTACCCTGTTAAAGTGTCTTGTAAGGAGTTTTGTCTTTCTTTGTCTGTGGAAACGGATTAGGAAATATTTTTGCTATTAAAGTGCTGATTAGGGTCTGCATGTAGTTGGGGTTTTTTGCATGCTGTTAGTATAATTTTTTTTTCTAATTTGAAGTCCATTTGGAATTAGCTTAATGTGAGTTTGATTACATCAGTGTAATTCCACAGGTATCCACATGCCCGGTGTCACATCACATGTCAGGTTTTGATCCTACGTTGTTAGAAGTCGTTTCCTTAAAACTTCTCCCACTCCAAGATTATTGACTAATGCCCCACACATCCAAAATATATTTGCTTTCAAAATGTATCCACACTTGTGCTTAAAGTAATATGCTTTAAATACCGAATAAATTCAAGAAATGTGTATTTGGTTGTCTTTGAAGCTGAGTAAACAGGTACAGTTTGCACGTTGGAAACACTCAGCCCTTGGTTGTCTTTCTCTCCCAGGTTTTGGAAGGCTTTCTTAGGAGTGATACAGCACAGAAGCACAGGGTGTAGATGAGCATCTGTCTCTCATCTATTGCAGTATTTTAGCTCAAATCTTGGTCTAGACTATGCCTAGCATTTCATTGTAAGAGTATAAAAATTGTTTTCCTATTAAAACAACAACAACAACAACAGAATAATTTGAATTATGCTGTTGTTACAAATGCCATGAGTTTATAGCATTTCCTGGTGTAATCAGTCAGTTTGTGTTATAGGTCAGCATGCCATAGTGAGGATTTGATTAAGGTATTTTTCAGGTTACAGTTTGTTTTTTCCATATTCTGAAAGGAAAAGTAGTAAAATACTATTTCCAGACTTAAAAAGAAAAGTAAATCAAATACTTCAAGGTGCCTGCCCTTTATTCTGGCAGGTTCTCTGCTTGATAATAATACCTTTAAAGGGAAATATGATTTTTATAATAAATATTCATTCGTTATCACAATACAGGCAGTTTCTTTCATTGGAGACATTTGTAGTACCTTTCAAGCATTACTGTTGAATAGTCTTTCTGTGAAACTGATCAAATAGTTTTCAATTTGATTGCTAGAGTTTAAACATCCAAGTGATGTTTCCTTTGTAGTGTGGTGAAAGTGCTTTCCTCCTGGAATGTTGTCTAACATTAGATCCAAATGGCAGTTACAATTGGAGTGGTCAATTTCCTTATGTTTCTTATTTTCATATGTATTGTGACTTGAGTGCTTAAAGAATTTCCTGTTGATGGAAAAGATTCTAAAAGATTAGAAAGATTATGCTGAAAATTAATCCAGTACTGTGGAAAAAAGGCAATAAAAGCTTATGGCACCACATAAACATCACAAGGAAGGGGAAGGAAGCTTTGAGGAGACTTGCATACCAGGGGCTTGGGGACTTCTGGGTACTGGATAATTAAAAGTCATCTCTTGACAATTTCTGAGACACTCAGTTACAATTAAAGTAAAAAGTTCATCCAACTGCAGTAAGGCTTAAAATGTTTTGTGTTTTCAGCTAACATTAAGATTTGAATTAAATTCTATTGCATACTCTTTTGATTGGAAAAAAGTCCTATTTGTGAACAGTATGCATGCAGTGCTTTGAGTCTTTTGTGCTTTTTGGCTGCAGTAGTAAGTTCTCCATTTTGCCTCATCATTTGCTTTTTCAGTGCTCTGAGAAGCCCTGCCGTGTCGCAGTACAAACTCCTCCTGCCTCATGAAATGTTATTTCTGTTACAGAGCTGGTTAACTAAACTTGTTGGCTGAACCAAGAGGGAATGCTGGTTCTTCTCACCAATAACCATTCTACAATCTGATAAAAATGCACATAACTTTTCAACAGGAGAATTATGAGTACAAGGGAATTGTCTGTTTCATGTCTGTTTCCTTAAAATGAAAATTCTATGGCTTTGCTCTTGTGAGAAGCCTCTCAGTTCTGCCTCAGAGGTGGCACTGTGTTTTAATGGTGACTATTACACAAATAGTCCTCTAAAATTCTCCTTTCTCTTTTTTCTTCAGAGAAAAGCACTGCATTCATGTCAGATTGTATTAAGTGTGACTGTTAACATTAGATAGATACTGTGAACTGTGTCTGGTTAAGAGTCAAATTGGCATGTCTAGAGGTGCCAGTTTTGCTCTGTCTGTCCCTGAGAAGACAACTTGCCTGGTCTGTCTGTCCCTGAGAAGTGCTTGCCTGGTGAATGTCATGCAGTAAAGTTGGTGGAGAAGTGCAAAATGACTTGGTAATCAAAAATTTCCTTGTAGGATATCTGAAGTCCCATGTTCAAAATGAAGATATATTATGTATCATTAGTCATAACTGACCATTGCTTTCTTGGATCTTTGTGGGACTATATGCCCCCTATAAAGTTCTTAGGAGTAAAAACACATTCTGTTCCTGGATATAATTTCTCTTTCTCTGGTGGAGAGAATGTCGATGCTCAACTATTTACACATGCAATTAAACTTCTGTCATGGATCTAATACTAGAATCAGCTTACTGCAGGTGAATCACCAGAACATTCATTTTCCTTTGTTGCTCTGTTTGATGAAACAGTGCCAGTCTTCTATGTGGAAATGTATTCCTTCTCTACAGTCTCTTTAATACACAAAGCAACTCCAGACTGATTTTCACATTCAGTTTCTGCAAATGTTTGTAGGAATCTCCAGACAGCATGGTCAGACTCTGCAAAGTCTGTCTGCTTTAGCATTATATTTTAAAGATCTGTACTACATCCTTTATGATCACTTAGTCCTTTGTATTCCCTTTCCTTCTGTCTTGTGTTACTTTTTCTATTTCTGCTTTCTGATGTCTCTCTGTTTTAGACTTGGAAGGCTGCTCTGTGGCCTTCTCTGTGAAGCAGTGCATCCCTTCTTGGATTTTTATGTGTTTTAGAGGAATCGCTCTGCAAAGCTTACTGAGTTACTACTTGGATTTATTTTCCTCTTTACATTGATCACTCTGTGCTTATAATTTACATTAGTAAATTATAGACCTTTGTCCTGGATTACTGATACTGAGCAAAATTTGGTGTGTTAATCTGGCAAAAGTTTTTAGCATGTGAATTTTACCTTTCTGGTCTCTAATGTAATCCTGTTTTTAGAGATCAAAACCACAGTACCTAATCCAGTTTCTGTTGTTGCCTGATCTTTTTCAGTATTACTTCTCTCAGTTCAAACATACTCAGCTAGTACAAATACCCTTGGCATCAAATTATTTATTTCAGTAAAAATGACCAGCTTGGGACTGGCAGTTTGTCAGAAGTGCTGTTAGCATCCAGAAGAGTACTGTGCCTCTTTTAGTTTTCAGTTTTGCAGTGAAGATCTCATTGTGTTTGTGCACCAAGCGTGGATATAGAATGTTTGTGTCTTCTTTCAGCTCCTCGTTGTTTTTGAACTCTGCTTTCTAATGATCTCTTTCAAATATTGATACAAATAATGTTTGAATATGAAAGTGACGGAAGCAAATCAATACCCCATTCTTTTTTGGAAATGGAATTCCATTGCCTCTTTTCAATATCAAAGACAGTTCAGGCTTCACAAGGAGAGGAGATGCAGACCATGTGGTGCTCATTTCCAAACTGGTGGTGTCGAACTGAAAGTCAAGCTAAATTAAAGCTCTGTATGTCCTTTGGAAAAACAAATGCTAAAACAAGTGACCTGGCAGATACAGTAGGTATCCAGGCAAGCATCTTCTGAGTCTGAGATGATGAAAAGCCAATGACTTTAGTCTTTTCTATTTGATTAGAGAAAACAGACTTACAGTCCTACCACTCGAGAGTCTCTGATGCAGCTGCTTTTGTTCATTAAGACTTGTTATGCTTAGAATTGCTAACTTTATTTGTATAACATTTTTATGTGGCTTGTATGGCGAGTATGATAGATGTAAATATGCTAACCCATAATCTAATGGTTAACCTTAATTAATATTGCTTATAGTTAACAGTTAATCTGGTGCACACAGTACACACAAGATGGCTTTTTACTATAACATCTGTTAGATGTTATGCAGTAGCTACTAGAAATGGCTTTTTCTTATTAAAAAGAAAATTAAAAAAAAAAAAGACAACAAAACAACAGAAGCTATGAGCTGAGTCATGTAACTTTTACAGGTATTCTATGCCCACTTGGCCATGAACTTGGGCCTACTGTCCTGTTTCTTTTGTGGGGAGAAAAAGCAACTTGCTACTTGTGTGATTTTCCATGTACTTCAGCTAGGCTGGCTGCTCTTTGACTTAGTGCTTAATAGTGGGTAGTGGACACTGATGTGCCTCTAGGAGTAGTCAGCACCTACCTTCTCCTTTATATTAACCTGCTGTAGATTTGAAAGGAGGGGGGAAAAAAAAGTATAAATGGGATTTTTTTGTTTTTAATTACTAATTTAAATGAAAATCGGTGTCGCATTTTTGAGATTATCATTTTATTTTGGTTGCTTTATAGCCACTGTACTTCTCAGCATTCTGCAAGTTACTGCTGGGTTGCAGATGTGTCTTAATTTTCTTTTGCCAGGGAGAACTGGTGACTGCTTCAAAGGCAATAATTGAGAAGGAGTATCAGCCCAAAGTGATAGTGAGCACAACAGGACCAAATCCCTTCAACAAACTCACTGATCGAGAACTGGAGGAATATCGCAAAGAAGTAGAAAGGAAGCAGAAGGGGCCAGAAGGTTGGTTTGTCTGTGTGTTTTTTCTGCAGTGGTCAGTTACTTGCTGCTATTAGGAAGCTGAAAGCCTGAACCTTCATAAAAAAACATTTAGGTACTGCTGAGTATTGTGGTTTGTTCTGTTCTGCTTTGCTCCCCATAGCACTAGAGGTAGTTGAGGTTGGGGTGAGATAATCCTGCAGCTTCTAGAGGCAAAGCCACAGTTTTCTAACTTGCTGACATTTGTGGGTTTGAGAATCTGTTGATCTGGGGAGACATAGACAAAATGTAATTGCTATTTGGAAATAGCACATCATGAGGACTTCCCCAGCAAAAGATGCCCTAATGACAAGAGAATCTCAGTAGAGCGAGTTTGTTCCTGCACCTAAAGGAGTTATCCTGCTTTACTTGTGTGAAGTTTTACAGGATGCTAGTTACAGTGCTTCTGCTCTTCTGCTGTTAAGGTTTGAAACTGATGCAGGAAGCAGAAATGTGATTTCTTTAACAGTGTGTGTTCCCTGCTTCTGCTTCTTGATAAGAAAATGTAGGAACCCCTGGAGACTCTTTATGTTCAGTTACGCAAGTATTGGACTCTCTGGGGACTGGGATCACACATGTCAGCCAAGAAGAGCCAGATGGGCAGAATTCCTCCCTTAAGGAATTTCATATGGCAGTGATCAAAGCATTAAGGTCCAATCCCGACCTTTTGGCTCAGGCCTCAGGTATTATGAATATGGCACAGTTGCGCTTGTAATCTGAGGAGCAAATTCTGTACATCATGTGGAGATTCTGTCAGTTGAATCCTATCTGTGGGACTGATTTCACTTCGTAATTGTTTGGGTGAATGGCCTGGAGCAATGTTTTTGTGCTGTTCCTGATGTATGATGAACTCTCTTAATGTTTTCAGCTGTTTCAACCTGGAAGCGAGGGGGACCCTCTTACCAATAGCAAATATGCAAACCACTGTGAAATCGGTTTTGAATCACTTAATTGCTGCATGTTTCTCTGATCATCTGTGCAATCCTTCATTCTTAGCTCTTAGTATGCAATTTTATTTACTCCAAGTTTCAGCAAAACATTCAAAGCAAGCAAAAGAGCACTATCTTGGATTGGTCTGATAGCATTTCCCCCCCGTATTTATCTGTCTTCCTAGTGATGTTTCTCGTGAGTTTTCTTAGGACAACATGCTGTTCCAGATCATAAACAATTACACCATTCATATTTTTTTATTTAAAAAACAAAAAGAAGCATAACTGTGGCTTGAACAGTTTTGTTGATATTAAACTTCTTTTGCTTGTTTTGATGATATTTAATACTCTGAACACATTTTTTTCTGAATCAAAATTCTGTCAGATTTTGTGTGCATGAAGCAAAAGGACATATTGGTGTCCTCCCATGCTGAAATATTTTGTGTGCCTTCTCAGTGTCTGTTTGTCCCATCTGCAGAACCTTCAGAAGACGGCAGACAACAGAAAGAGAGAAGTCCCCCTGAAAACAGCTCAGCCTGCACTCCCCCGAGCACGCCCATGAAGGCAGAGGAAGGTAAGTTCTGCTCTGGGGGCCGGGGGAGCCACTAACTGCATCGCTGGTGACTGACGCATGAACATCTATCAACTACTGTCTACTAAGGGTCAATTTCTTCTGGTATTCTTTGGATACTGCCTAAAACATATGACACTGACCTGTAACAGGAGTTCTGTTTACAATAATAAAGAAGTGTGCATTAATACAAAGACAAAATTATCATCTCTTCAGAACTGCCTTGTCATCGTTTGTGTTTACCAACTGATTTATCTTTTTGGTGTATTTTCTGCAAGAAGGAATTGCTCTTATGAAATGAAATGATGTCTGGTGCTGAGCCAGACACAAATCAAATTCTTTGGTAAATCTTCACTGATTGCACATTTCTTAAACGTTATTGTACTTGGATTACACCTCAGTAAATAATCTTCCAATTCAGTTTGCATATTAGTTTCATTATTTGCTAACCTTACATATTAATTAAAGCTGAAATGAGACAGGGCTGGGAGAGTCTGTAATTTCCTTGCAAAAGGATAAAATAACATTCTTGAACGGGTGTAATCTGATTTTTGTCTTGTTTCCTTTACCTTGTACATGGAATATATCACTTGTCTGTTAGTCTTTCATTCACTACTTCATCTCATTCTGTTTTCTATAAGAATGGTTGCAACCATTCTTCTAATTTAACACAATGGCTGTGATGAATGCATAGATTCTCTACTTGTGCTTTTTTCTTCTTGTGGCTGCGTTACACACAGGAGATGGATATGCTAAAGAGTACCTGTTACCATAGTAAGTATCATTCCATACTCTGACCGGCTTATGTGCTTTGCTTCACTCTTGCTTCTTTGTTTCCTAAGTTGTTGTTGTTGTTGTTGCTGTGTGTTTTTTAAAAAGCAGCTTTTCAGCTGAGACACTGATTTCTTTATTTCATGAAGTTCTAGGTAGTTATGGACCCTGTGTGAAAATGCACTCTCCTTTGAAAGACACTGCAGAAGTGACATTGTGTGTTTCCATACCTGTGTCTGATTCCTTACAGTTTCAAAAGGAATAGTCTGAAGTTGTCTTCCAGCTGTAGCTGAAGCAGGTCTTAGAGTTCTGCCCCAAGTTTGCTGCTGCCTGATTTAGACCAGGTGCTGAAAGTTCCTTACCTACTCCAGAGCAACAGTGTTGCCACTGACATGGACTGAAACTGATAATCCAGCAGGCGTCTGTGTGGAAGTGGAAATGGAACTGCTCACACCCTGGCTGTAAGGAAAATCCAGCAAGGAAAATCCAGCCAAGGAATGACAGCAAGTACTTGGTGGCAGCAACACTACAGCTGTTTCAGCCAGCTCTGCAGGGCTACCTCAGATTATACTTTAAAGTAAAAACAATGTTTGGCCCACTCCATTTGTGTGTCCTGTTGTATCCAAAAGTCAGTGTATTTGTCATAGATATAAATATTAAATTACAGTGTAGAAAACTGCGATGCTACTAATGAGCTTCTAAAACCTGAGCATTCTTTTAAACAGAATTCTGTTCTATAACTCCTCTAGGCATAGAAGTTTTGCAGGACAAACATACAATGCTTATTTTAGAGACTGAAGCAATTGAAATTGCAGGCCATGACAACTTTGGCTGGCAGAAGTTCTGCTGGCTGTCAGTGTTCTCCGTGTACAAGCACTTCTCAATTTTTTTTTTCATATCCTTTCTGTTAAAGTGTGGCTGGAGTCAGAAAAGTGTTTCATGTTGACAGTTATAGCCCAGTTTGTATGTTTGTCCTCGTAAGTTTGTGTTTAAAAACATAAACCTTTATTTTCGTAAATGTTGGTTGTAAATAAAAGTATTAATTTTACTTTTCAAAGCTCTCTTATGCCAAAGTAGAAAGGGAGAGAATGGCTGTAGGCCTGACTGTTCTGAAGGGGGCAGGAGAAAAAGAACACCTTCTGAAACTTCTGGGGTATTGTTTAATTCTTATACTGTAAATAGGTTTTGCAACAATTTTTTGTTTAATTGATAAATCTTCCTAATTTTGGTAAAGCAGTGCCCTTAGTGAGCCAGATAGACAGGGAGCAGATGTTTGCTTCACACTAATCTGTTTAGTAGAGATGCTGGTAATTTGGCAATCTAGGAAGGATAGTCCTGGATTAACAAGTTACAAAACTTGTTCTATTTATGCACTGCTTAGGCCAGCTGGCAAATGCTGTCTCATTGCCTGGAGCTTCCCAGGTGCCCATGTAAGAAGTTCTAAAATGGCAAATCTGACTGATGGTCAAATATGGCACCTGTTCTAAAAACCAGGCTGCTGCTTTCAGTGAAATCAAATCGAAGAAGATTGTAGTGGCAGTGGAGAGCTGTGGGTGCTGCTTACATTCCTTAGGAGGAAGTTTTTCACTCAGAGGGTGTTGATGCACTGGAGCAGGTTGCCCAAGGAGGCTGTGGATGCCCCATCCCTGGAGGCATTCAAGGCCAGGCTGGATGTGGCTCTGGGCAGCCTGGTCTGGTGGTTGGTGACCCTGCACATAGCAGGGGATTGAAACTTGATGATCGCTGTGGTCCTTTTCAACCCAGGCCATTCTATGATTATGTGTATGTTTATGACACATCTGTATGCATTAGGCTAGAGCCTCAGGAGCTTATAATGAATAGAATTGCTTTCTCTCTTTTGCTGTTTTATGCCCTTCTCGCACTATAACCTTTAAACTTCTAACGTGCGTGGAGCATTTGGAGCTGAGCTCTGGTTTGCTGTGTTTGCTTAACATCTGAGATGGCTGTGGTGCTCTGGGAAAACAGGTTGATTTCCTGCAGGTGTTCACAGAACAGCTCTGTGAGATGTGGTGTAGGATTGCAGGTCTGTCTGGCAGAAATGAAACGGACAGTTTATTTTTTCCCTGGGGAAAATGGGGAGGTATGAACTATCTGCTGTAAATTCTTTTGAAAGTCTTCAGTGTTCTGAAGATGAAGTTCTGAAGACAAAACCAACAATAATATAACTTTCAAACTGGGGAAAAAATAGATGCCTTTCTTTTGTGCCTGCCAATGCCAATGGCCTGGATTTTGTTCCAAATTTCTCCTTACATAACATGAGTGGAGATGTGTTTGACACCGCAAAGGAGACACTTCTCAGCTTTCAGTGCAGTGATGAAAAATGGAGGGAACTTTAGATGTGATAGTTATTAAATTACGTATGCAGAAAGGAAAGCTTTCAACAGAACCTGTGTAAAGCATGGTGGTTCGTGGGAGAGATGCTACAGGCTGTAGTGCTGAAATTCACCTCTGGACGTGAATTTTTGATCCTCCTTCATCCAGGGGTGAGAGCTGCTGTATCGCATAACCTGCTGAGCACTTTCAGTTGGATAAACTACATGGATTTTACTTACATGACAAGAGTCCATAATTTATATTCACATATCTTGCAAAAGCAGTAAAGCCTTTGTGATAGGAAAAGATATTAATAAACTACACCTGTTAGATCTCATGGAAGAACATTACAGAAATCCACGTATCACAGTTAAAAGCTGGCAAACCAGCGGTGGGCAGTAGTTACAAATCAGCAATTACTGCTAGCCCAGCAAGTTAAAAAAAAATAAAATAAAAGTAAAGATGCTGAATTTTGTGATGCTGTCTTCAATTCCAATGAAAACTGTAGGTTCAATTCCTGCTTACTGTACTAAAGTCTTGTGTTGTTTGCAAATGCTACATGAGACATAAGTGAGAAGTCTCAAGTTATGTTCTTGCTGTGTGACGCCCACAGAGTGGAGTTCAGCTTTAGCTCTTCTGTGGTTTGAAGAAAAAAAACAAACAACACTTTTAAATATCTTATTTCTATCTCTGTGCTGAAAGCTAAAGAAGAATAGACCTGTTACAAAGGCTTTCATGCGAAGTAAATATTTTAGTTTATTATTTTGTAGAGAGCACATACCATCACTTGCTGGGCTTTCTCTGTCCCAGGGACATGATGAGCTAACTGTGCTGTTATCTGTCCGTCCATTAGAGACACAGCAGGACCAGACCTACAGAGATGACAGTGATGCTGCAACTTTGAAGCAAACCCTCCCAGATCTCACCCCTGATGAGCCTTCAGAAGCACTCAGCTTCCCTCCCTTAGGAAAGGAGGAAGGGAGATGCGATGAAGATGTGTCCAAAAGCCAAACAGAATCACCTGCGGCAGCAGATAAGGAACCCCAGCCTCAGCCTGCTGAAGAACCAGCGACTCCAACAGCTGAGGAGGGGACGGCAGCTGATGCAGGTAGTGATGAATCTCCAGGAAAGTCCCCATCGAAAAAGAAAAAGAAGTTTCGCACTCCTTCCTTCCTGAAGAAGAGCAAAAAGAAGAGTGACTCCTAAAGGCCAAACACTGCAGAAACACTGTCATATTTTAAAATTCATTAACCACTAGAATGTACCAGATTGTACTGAGTGTTTTGTCTTATTATGTACATGAATGCAACAAGTAATCCAACTAGCCCCTCAAGTTATGGCTTGATTGTTTAAGGTTATAACCAGAAATTAACATCCAAAAAGGTGCTAATCCTGTGTTTTCAGCAGCTACCACTGATCTGATCCCTAATTTCTAAGCAAATATAAATGACTTCCATGTAGAGGCATTGAATCACATGTTTATACCTTAAAGCCTACACCGCTTTATGGAAGAATAAAACCAAGCTTTTGCCATTAAGAGTGCAACACAGATTGCTTACCATGAGCAGCGTTCTGTTTCAAAATTCTGCTCCAAGTCATAAGTAAATTTCTTCTTAAATGGTGACTTCTAGCGAGGATGCTTTTGCAGTGGTGTTTTCAGGGGGATATGCTCTTAAACTGACATGTAAGCTTTGCAATCTTGTGATTACCGATCAGGTTGTAGTAAAGCTTTGTGACTATCCATTCCTTCCTCACTTTCTCCCCACTTCTGATTATAGTAACAAAATGGAAGTGTTTTTCACTTACACCTGAAACCATCCTTGTGTAGGACTGAAGTAACTGCAGCGTGGTTTGCTGGTGCTGTGTGTTGATGGAGCCCTCTTCCAGGGAATGCAGCTTGAGGGAAATCAGTCCTTGGCTCCCTAAGAATCTGTCAGATGGTGATTTGGCTGTTGGGTGAAGTTAAAAGGTCAGTCCATGGTGATGTGAAGCCCAGATGGCTGCATTTTAGGCCTTAGCACAGGTTTGTTCTGCCTGTTCAAAAATACCCTGTGTGCAAATGCAGACCTGCTGCACAGAAACCCCATCTGCAGCATTTTGCTACTATTTCTTCCCATGATAAAAATGTAAATGTGTTACACTGAGCATTGAACCTTGTTTTGATATTATTTTCACTCACAAAGAACCTCACAACTGGTATTTCTTAATTTTGTTGTTCTTGTTGCCAGCAGTAAAGTACAGGAATTCCAGCTAACCTTCTTAAGGATGTATTTTCACAGACGTTTGCTATAAATGTTTGTTTAGTACGTAGCATGGTCAAGAAACTCACTTTCACTACTGAATTAACTCTTCTCCAGTTATTGCCATGCTTCTGTCTATCACTAATTGTGTAAGTAGTCTCAAGATGAGAGAAGTGAGGCTTGCAGGAATCCCCCAGGCGCTGTCATTGCCCTAGCCCCAAGCAGGGAAGGTGGCTCACTGCCTCCCCGTGGTAGCATTTCTGGCTTTAACAGCAGAAACGTTGAAAACTCCTGCGTGGGAGAAGAAGGCAGCGCTTTGGCTTGCAGTACGTGCAGCAAACAGAATGTGGGTGTTAATTTTAGGACAATGTTGATTGGTAAAATAGTGGAGAACTTAATGCCTTACAATTCACGTAGTAGAAAGCATCGCAGAAGAGATGGGTTCAGCAGCTGGGGGTTAGAAAGGCCTACATTAGGTCTGGGGCGCTGGTACCTTGGGTTTCAGACAGTGAAGGGAAAATGGCAGAAATGGCAATCAGAGCTGTAAGGCTTCAGATGAGCAAAGAGCTTTCCAAGTAGTATTGAATGCTGTGAGGAATGGAGCTTTGCCTGTTTGGGATGGGTAGAGGTACGGTGGGAATTGAAGCAGCAGTAACTCACTGTGCGAGATTGACCCCTAAACAGCAATGTTTAGTCAGGGCTGCATGGCACTAATGGCTTTCAGCTTGTACTTTAACCTTGTATGTCCTCTGTACACTAGGAAGCATACAATACTTATTTTGCTAAATTGTGTTTTATTGCAGGGTCGTAATTAAATTACTAATTGCTCTACGTTTCAGTTCATTAATGGAATCCCTCCATTTATCTTTGACCACATATGCAATGACTTTTAATTTCAAATTTTGTAGTTTGTTCTTTTAATTCTTTGTATTACAAATGAAATGTAGTCATGTATGGTATGGTTACACACTCTGGGGCAAATTAAAGTCCTGTATTTTTCTTTTTCTTGTATCAATTAAGTTCTACTCACAAATAAAACTCTTTAAAAAAAGCACGCTCCCCTTTGCTTTCAAAACTTGTACTGTTCTACAGCTGTAGACCTGAACATTTAATTAATTAGCTCCATTTTCTGTTAGTCATTTATCAATGATTTAATGTATTCTTGGAAACAATACTTAAATTGGCTCCTGCAGGGCTTCCTTCCCAGGCATTCTACCTGCACAGTTGGCAGGAACTGGCCGCTAAAAAGCAGAACCAGCTGAGCTCAAATAGAAGGTGGGTGTTGTGAGAAAATGGAGGGGTCCTTCCCCTTCCCCTAAACCCTTCCCTCCCCCTGGTCTTCCAGGGCAACCTCTGCTGAAGAACCTGTCCCAGCCCTGCTGGGAAGCACTGTTGGCTGCTGGAGGATTCTGGTCCCTTCTGTGGGCTCCTGGACTCTAGTTCTGCTGTGCCAAATCATAGTAGCAGAGTTGGGTTTGCATTGATTACTGACTGGATGGAACAGTTTATTTGTAATGCAAATGAACGGTGGTTGGTCATCAAAAAACATGCAGTACTAGAAATATAAAACAGCTCGATTTAATTGTGTAGTAAAAACAGTCCATTTAAGACCAAAGTAGCAGTCAGGCTCAGGAAGCCTGGAGCATGCTGCTTGCTCTTCTTTTTGATTGTCAGGCTTTAAGGCAGTTGATACGGCGCTTACCAGCTCCACTGATAGATGACTTGTGCGGCTCTCATCACGCTGGCTGTGCAGCATCCAGTGTCTGTCAGACAGCTTCTGTACATTTGTTCTCTGCTAGCTGGAGGCAGAAGAGTCCTCTTCGTGGAGGCTTTGGGCAGTGGGGGTCATCAGGATTGTGCTGATGACAAAGAAGATGTGCAAAGAGCAGCTCCTTATGGACTGCAGTGTGGTGGCGACCAGCACGTGATGTCAAATTGTCATTTTGGAGCATGGTGTGCAGCAGCGCTGCTGTAAGGCCAGTCTCAGCTTGCCAAGCCTCATCTGATGGTCTTCATGCTTCACTAAGCTGAAGCATGTTTTGTTTTCCTTTTTTTTGGTTTCATTTTCAAAACTGGCCAAGGCAATTGTGAGGCTGTGGTCAACTGAAGTGCTTGTGGAGGCCGTAAGAAATCTGCAGCCCACTGTTACAGCATGTGGCCATTGCACCTTGCCTTCCAGAACATCTTTTTCTCCCAGTTTGGTCAGTGGACTCAAGTGGTGAGAATCGGGTGGTGGGGAAGGCCTTGGAAGCTGGTGATAGCTCTGGCTTCTTCTTGCCTTTGCCTACTCTTCCTTTGTCTGCTTTTTGATAGAACCGAGTAAAATGAAGGGGATGAGGAAAAAAGCTCCACAGATGGTGAAGCAACTCTCTGCCCCTGCCAGCCAGTAAACTGAAAAGGAAACAGATTTTGTTATATTTAGCAAAACTGTCCTTGCACATACATGAACAAGCACTCAGAACTGCTGATAAAATGGAGAATGCAGGCGTCAGTACAACCATGATCACTGAATCTTTAATGCATGTTCTTGCTTGCACGTGATAAACAGGAGGTGGCTAATAGTATTGCTGGCAATAGTTCTCTTCCAATATAAAACAGCACGGTAAAAAACACCTATTTTCATTTGGTATAGAAATAGGGGAAGTTCCTGTTCGCTTACCAGCTTCAGTCACTGGGCAGCTCTAACTGCCCCTAGCACATCCTCCTCAGCTGCTCCTGCTCATACCTGTCTGCTGCTCTTGAGTGTCTCAAGCTGTTGCTACTGATCTGCTCCAATGAAATGTGCACAAATCTAATGCTTGGAGTTGGAGGAAGGGCACTACATGAGCTGTGCCCTGCAGTTGTTCTGCCATCTTGTCTTTGCTGTAGTCTTCCCTTCCAGAAGCTCAGTGCCCACAGGAGCACCACAGGGCAGCTGTTTGTCCCTGTGGTCAGGAAACTGGCTCCGACCTTACTCAGATTTAACTGTGATCAGAGTTAAGGCTGGGACACGCTGCATGGAACAGGTGTTGTGGTTCCACTTCCCCATTTCCTTCCATCTCAGCCGGGCTGCAGGCACATACAGTGCCACTGTACGTTGGCTGGAGCACACAGCCCCACTCACCTGTGGCTGACAGGACAGGTCCCAGCGCCCTCGCAAGAGCCCCCAGGCTCCTCAGGATCCCCATGACTCTTCCTTTTTGGCTGGCAGAACCTGGACAAGCAGAGAGCCATCAGTCAGCCCTGAGCTTTGTTTTGTTTGGGGCAGGGACAGCGTGAAGGGCAGGGCATTGCTCTAGCTCTTAGGCCTGCTTCTTTTGGACTTATTTCCCACGTGCAGCTGTTCTTCCTTTCATTTCACACTTACCACCTGAGCTGTGCTTTTCCTTCTCCCCCAAGGTAAACATTCATTAAAACAAAACATCAGGACTTGTCAAGCGTGCTTGTCCACGGACACCTTGTGACTCCATGCTCACAAAAAATACCCCAGAAACCAAACAGACAAAAAAAAACCAAGCCCACACTCCAAAACCAACAAAAAGCTTTACTCTGTATAGAAAAGCTACGTTTGCTTCTCTAGATTTTAAAGCAGTTCTGAAATTGCTGAGGCAGCACAGGTATAGAAAATACCATCACCTTACTTTTCCCCTCAGGCAGCACTGCAGTGTGGCAACATTGGTAATGAACTAAAGCTAAAGCAAGCTGTCTTCTACAGCTGCCAACACAGCCACATCTGCTTTGCGAGGTAACGTAGCAACCACTACCACACACCCCTATCTTTTCTAAGGAATCAGGAAGGAACGATTTCCCTCTCAATAAATGCAGCTGGGAGGAGGGGGACACTTCAGCCAAGCAGCCTGAGTCACTCGTCCAGCATTTTTGCACCAAGGACCCGAGTTCCTGCTGCTGCATCTCAAAACTTGAGGTCAGTTCCTCATTTGAGCCCACTGTGCACAAAGGTGAATTAAGTGATTGAGGGCTGCCCCCCAAAATGAGCACTCACCGTAGCCTGATACCACTGCAGACAAACACGGGATAACAATGGCAGCAGCTGGAAAAATCCACAAAACAGACTGTCAGTGTACAGCAGAGTTCAGTTACCAGCAGTAGTGACAAACATGTGGTGCAAACTCGTTACTACTGCAGAGAAAAATGCTGAGCTCTGAGGCATTGTACCAGCAATGAATCATAAGGTTTAACCCAGTTCAGTAATGAAAACACCCCCTCAAAGCCAACCTGCAGGAAGAGCCCAGAGCCAGGAATGCTCTGCGCAGGTGTTTCCCATTAGTGCTCCATTCCAGGAGCCCCTGGGAAAGGGGCGGCCAGGTCAGAGCAGCAAACTGGGACAATTCCAAATCACTGCAGACCTATCGGGGCAGCAGGGAGGAGGAATCGCTCACGTTTCCAACAGACTGTGAGGTGACTGTAAGCGGAACGGCCCTGCGCCGTGCATAAGGCTTTAGTCATGGATGAGAGCCGTAGCTACCTTCTGCCTTGGGAAATAAGAGTTAAGTCCAACAAGAAGAGGTTACAACATTTTAACAAAAGCCAAGAGCTGTGCAGCCAGCACTGCCCTCTTACTGAAACAGGGACCTTCTCTGCCAAGAGGGAAATGCTTTCAGCATACAAAGCTGAATTGTTTCTGGGAAGGAAAGGACAACTGGAGAGCAGAAGGATAAACGTGTTGCTCTAACTTCTGGGGCAGGAGAGGGAGATAGGAGGAGAAGAGGCTCCTTTTGGATGGCTGAGCTGCTATCCTGCACCCAGGTGTGTAGCTTGGAGGACCAGGCTTTTAACACAGAAGCACAGTTACACAGAATGAATACCAGCTCTCACTGAGAGGCTGTCAAAATCAAGGTGAGCTGTAGATAAGGTTTAGATCTTGAAGCCTGTCCAACACACAGCTGCTCCTACACAAGTAAGGCACTAAGGAGATGCATTTTGTGATTGAGAGTTTACTCTTAAATCAAGCTGCATTGTGCAGAAGATGAGTCTGTTTTCCTCTTTCATAATTAGTCTTATTTGAAGCTGCTTAGCAATAGTTGGCAGTACTGGGAATATCTAAAGTCTCTTTTTTTTTTTTTCTTCCTGCTATGAACTTCAGCAATGCTCCATCACAGATAAACCCAAATCATTTATAGCTGTTTCCCTGAATAATGAAAACCATAAAGAAATGCTCTCTTGGTGCTTTTCTTGAGATGAGCATTCACTGAATATTTTTCTTCTAAGATCTGCTGAAAGAGAAGGAAAAAACCTCAAGAGCCCCACAGTGAGATGGGACAGCAGGAGCACTGGGGATGCCTTCAGCCATCACCATGGCAACTTCCTTGGATACAAACAGCATCAGAAAACAACAGACACTATTCCTCTTAGATTTAATAAACAGAAACATCAGCTTCTGTTACATAGGTTGAAATAAGACATGCAGCTTTTTTCTTTTAATATGCAGAAAAATTCCTTGTGTTTTTGAATAGCTCACCAAACGAGTACAGCAACAGTCCAGCGCTCAGCAGGGTCACATTTGCAGCCCATCCAATTAACAGGAATGCTGGAATCAACAACAAAATGGCCTGCAGAATGGAGGAATCACAGCATTACATGTAAGCCACCCTTGTTACAGCCTAACCCCAAGCACACCACATCTCTTCTGCTGATGGCTTACACTTAGACCAGAAGCAGAAAGCCCTTTCTTCCTGAATGGACATTTTAAATTTAGCTGGATGGCCACACATAGGCACAATTCACCTCTCAGTTCTCTCACTATCACATTGCAGACAATCCATGTGCTGAAGTCACCCCTGTCAGTTACAGCCCATAACTGATTTTCTGCAATTGAAAAAAATCTGATTGGGCACTTCTTTCACATCATTTACTTTTTTCCCCCTCCTCATGCTGAGTTGAACAGTCCAGAAATCTCACTTTAACTCTTTATCTCGTGAGCTAAACCAAGAGATGAAAAAGCTTGCAAGCAACAGGACTACAGCTCCTCAGTTTTTTCTCAGCAGTGCTGGCTGACTCGAAGGAACACATCCTGCCCTTGAGCTTTTGGAGTCCGTACTTATGGAGCCAAGAAGAAAAAATGAGGGGAATGGCATTTGAAATGGATTTGCTACAAGAGAAACCAACATCATTTCTTTCTTCCAAGAGATGACTCCAGTTCCCCTGCCATCTCTCCCTCATATACATAACTGATCTGTTTTTTTTCCTATGAGAGCTAAGAGCTGCTGCACATTTCACAACTGAATGTTGTAATTCCACTCTCATTGAATGTCTCATTTTGATAACTCAGTTTTAAAGCCTGTTGTAACTGCTGTGCCAAGAGAAGACACATAAGCCATACAATACAGGTTCGTAAAGGAATCGCCAGAATTACTACAGCAAAAGGAGGAACTCCCATACGAGCTGCTCAAGCCACATGCACCTGCAGGATGAGCATCCAGGGGTCAGCAGGACCTGCACAGTGCATGTGTGTGTTTACAAACAGCCGTTGGCCAGCTGAGCTAACTGATCTCTGCAAAGTACCCACACCTCTCTGTGCAGAGAAGAGGAAGGAAGGAGAAATCAGCAGGGTGAGCCTCGCCTTGCATAAACTGCAGTACAGTGGCAGCAAACGCAGCGGGGTTACAGAAAGCATAGAGGAAGTGGATGCAGAGGATAAAGCGGTGCTAGCAGGGCTGTGCCAGCTTTCTTTCACAGGGAAATGTTTCCTCCACAACACAACGGGCATATCCTATGTTTTGCCCGCCAGGGAGCAGGATGAGGGTGGTTTCATAAGCAGAAAGAGCTTTCAAGAAAAACCAGAAAGGCGTGACAGATCAGCTATGAAGCTGCTTTAGTAGTTTCAGTGTCTACACTGGAAGAGAAAACTTTGAAACAAAGCATAATCTTTGCAGCATTCTACTCAACTTGCATAGATACTGTTCACATTTCCTACTGCAGCTATCCATAAAGAACTTAAAGTTTCAGTCATAGCATAGCTGATATGCTAAGAAATGCCTCTGATATTCCCAAGTTCAGTTAGAGCAATAGTTGTTTATCATTCACATCTAGAAGTCATTTAAATGAAAACAGATGATAGATTTCTTTTGATCAGAGAAGCACAGCTATAGCCTCCAACCATCCCTCATTGCTCTCAAGACTGAAAATGGATGCATCAGATTTGTAGGGGAAAAGAAAGAAAATATTGACATATATATTTACCCTTTTTACGGCTCTGATTTCATTTCCTGGCTTTATTCGGCGAGCATAGCCTCCCTGGATCACAGCCATTGTTATTCCAATAAAGAAAAACATCTTGCCCTGCTGCATACTGGAAGGGAGGCAAAAACAGTTGACACAGTCATGCATACAGCATTCCACCCTGGGATTGGCAGGTGCAGTGCTGACCCTCTCCTGAACGTGAGAGAGAAAATGCTTTTAGGTGTTCACACGGGCAGTGCAAAGCTCTTAATATAGCTGACATTAATTTCCATGGTAGGAAAATAGAAAGAAGGTAACAGCTGAGATCTTATGTGGAGATGGGATGGCTGCCAGCAAGTACTGCAGTGCTCTCTTGGAGTACAACGATGGAGCTTATCTGTACTAGGGTGGCTCACAAAGAACCAAGCCCTCACCCTGTGCCATGGCAGCCCCTCTGTATGCACTGAGCTGTTGGCTTCTGAGCAGTGAGCACTTTGCTTTCTCACAACTGCTGTCACTGCTCACGTAGAGATCGACTGAGGATCAAGGCACAGGATGGACACTGGCACAGTGCTGATCGTGGATCACACTGGGAAGCATGCATTAGCACTCCCTCCATCCTCAGGAAATTCTTCCAGTTTCACCTCTCTTAGCTACTTGACCACACGGATATTTGCAGCTAAAAGTTCTCACCTCTGTAACAACTTGTCTGTTACACAGCCCGTACAGTCAGCATTAAGCTGTACATCACACCACATGGCTATGCTGAAAGGACTGTGCAGAAGCAGGCTTAGCACACTAAAGACCTTTCCTTGTTGCACACACATTCGTTAAGCCACAAAGCGTAATGAAAGACAGACATGGAGAGATGAAACAGAATCCTGAGAATTACTCAAAGGAAAGGATGGACATGAGGAATCAAGCTGTCAGATCATGTTCCTGGCTGGAAATCTTCCTATGAGCTGGCAGGAAAAGTATTTCAAGCTGAGCTTCTTTTAGTGGATTCTATTCTCTTTCTTCTCTAGTATCTGACTAAAGGCAATCAAATACCATATGCAACACAGGACTCAGATGAGCAACAGTTAAATAGCTATTCCTTCATCCTTGGCCTTCTTGTGTTCTGATACTGAAGAACTCTTCTGGGGAGGAAGAGAAAAGGTTCTTTGCAAATCAATCAGTACATTCCCCCAGCTGTAGATAATTCAGGAGCTTTAATTTAATCTTGTGTATTGACTTTCTTTTTAGGTCCTAGATGTTATGAATTCAATGAGTATTTCCTGTTGTGATAAATAGCATGCCTATTTTTTCTTAAATTCTTCCTGCAGAGCCCACGTGGAACTGAATGCAGTGATTGCTTTTTGCCTATTACTAACCTCAGGGTCTCACTTGAAAATAAAAGACCTTAAATTAAGATTTTGGAAAATATCTTAAATAAAATAAACACCATTTATCTTTTAAGCATAAAATACCTGCTGAACTGGAATCTCTGGTGAGTAAGAAAACTCAGTGTATACTCCAATCCAGAAAACAGGAAGAGGTACAGGAAGTAAGCCAGGCCCAAGATTTTGAGGTTCTGAAGATCTAAACAAAGAAAACCCCCAGAAAAAGAAAGTTATGGTGGTATTTTTCAGGCATTACTTGAAAATATAACAGCAATAGTGGAATAACATTTAATAAGGAAACAAGGAACATTTAACAAGAAAAAGGATCTTCACTTTAAATATCCATACAAGACATGCCACAGAATGGCTTCTCCACATTTCCTCCCCTCTTGTGAGAAGAGAGCCAAAAAACCTGATCTCTCCCTGTGTCACAGTGCTCTCACTCACCCAGTCCAGTTCCTCTGCCTCACATTTGTGCTGCTATATGTCCCGTGGTTTATTTCTCTTTAACCAGTACCTGCAAGCAGTCTAACACCTGAATGCTGCTTTCAGGACAAGATTGGCTAAAGCAGAGCCAATGTGCCAGGTGTACCTAACAAATCCTGATTTATGTTCTATGGTTTAAATGATTCAATGAATGGAAATGTCCAGCTTACACCCCACATCTCCATACCCCAAAATAAGAAAAATCGGGCTGAAGTTTCCTGGTTTGCACACTCAACTGCCCATTACTCATGCCTCTGCCTTTATAAAGCCTTCCACTTACTGCAGCCTACCCCAGCTAGCCCCTTCCTGAAGGACAAGGGAGCAGCAAGTCAGATACCCTCAAAACACTGATCTCTAAAACCAGCCTGAGTACATAAATCAAGAGAGTGAGTTGTAGAACAGTTAACAAAGTGCTGCTTCCAAAACTGCATGACTAAAATCTCTGAACAGAAACCACCTCCACATACAAAAAGACATCCAATCTAACAAACAGCCAGCTAACACTTACTCTGATCTGAAGGGGCCTCCTTTCCTTGGGTGACTGCAGAGAACCGAAATAAAGCCAAAGGACTGAGCAGGTCAGCTGCTGCCTGAAACCCGGTTGTCACAGAGGAGACCTGATCAAACAAAGAAGTTTATTTCAAAAACTGACGTAATTATTGCTGCAAGGAATTGACAGGAACATTCAAAAGTGCTTTGATGTATAAATAAACTACCTGAAATGAAACAATGCAACTGCTATTGAAATCTGAGTGACACACAGTAACATCCCAGACTTTCTGAACACAGAACAGTCTCCAGCGCTATAACCAGAAGGCGAAGCACTGATAGCTGTTTTCTCTGGAAAAAGAAAACAGATTTTTCCCTGAGTTCCCTAAAAAGCAGTGTATGGGAACTGTTGATCGCAGCTGAACCTCTGATTGACCACCTGAGGCAAGCAACGAGTCAGCAACGGGAGCACAGGTTAAGGCAGTTCACCTGGACTACCAGGAAGGGGTGGAGCCTGTCTGCACCTCTCCTAGACCCCATTTAAGGGCTGATTGCCACTGGAGAAGGATTTCTCTCTGGAGATCACTCCTTGGGGAGCTTACTGTGAGCCTACAACACTGGTAAGCCTAACTTTTCTGTATATTTATTGAGCATCCAATGCTTTATAACATTTGTGTGCTTGTTGATCTTACAAGCAGAAACAGCCCGTTCTCCACAGCCCAAAGGTGGCTTGATTTGGTGGCTTTTCTCATCATCTCTCCTGTCCAGTAAACGTGTGTTGAGTAAATACTGGCACACCTGCCTGCAAGCTCATGGGAAGGTGAGGATTTGCAGTGTACTACAGCTGTGAGAACAGCAGGTGTAGCAGTGCATCAAGTGACAGCCTGTGTGGGACTGGTGGTTCTTTTAGCCATGCAGTGACATCTCCTGGGGAAGCAACAGAAAATACCATTTTTAGAGAGTCATTCTTCAGAGATATTTCTTGTGAGATTCTGTACAGCAGTACTGTGTGGTTTCTTCTAGGGAAAACTTATTTTGTAGCACTGCTCAGCTCAACCTAATTTTGTATCCAGCAATGCCATCCCTGCTCCTCATCGGCGGTTCTGGAGATGCTTATTCTTTCATCTGTTAAGAGTTTAATTTTTTGTTTATTTTTATTGTTAAATATGAAATATACATCCATATAAAAACATACTCTGCAAATCCTTAAGGAAATATCTCCCTTTGAAACAGGAGAATTTAGGCTGTTACTTTGCACAATAGTCACAGGAAGAGAGAATCAAGAATCCCCAGTAGTCACAGCTGGCATTTAACACCCCCAAAGCACTGCACAGGCTTTATGTGATGAGCTTCCTTTTCAGCCCAGCTGGGCAAGGCAGTAAATACTGTCCCTTAAAGGCTGAGACTAAAGGTCACGTTATCTGGGGGACTTCACCTCAGTGCACAGCCTGAAGACTTGCTCTGTAAGAAAGCTGTAAACAAATCAATCTTCAAAATGCTATTAACCCTACCTCTACCTTGTTTTGATAGACAGAGCTTCTGGGCATCCAACAGCATAGCTCTGGAGCCCATCAGTCTCACAACAGCAGTCAGTTCAATACAGCAGGCTGTTATTACATAAAGCTGCTGATCCACACAAGGCAAACTGGGCTATTTATTTCCCCTCCACTGTGTGTACTGCAGAGGGTAAACAGACACTCCCAAGAAAAGTTTCCTTGTGCTTTTATGAGGTCTGTAAGAGGATTTCCTGAAGCTGGCTTGTCGCAATCCTCAGTTCCTGCATTTGTTGGCATCACAGTGTTTGTAGTGCTGCATACAGAACCCAGTAGCAAGTAAGCCTCCTCAAGAATGCCTGCCTGTATTAAAAAACATCTGCACTTTGTATGTACATCTGTATATACTTTGTATATACTGCTACTACAAAGTTGATTTTATCTATGTAGAAATACACTTTCTTCTATAATTCTCCTACCTTTGCCCTAGAAGCAATAATCTAGAAATGACTTCATTCACCGATAGATGAAAACTTGCTTACAACTGCTGAAAGCATTCTGCCCCACAAACAACAAAGTACACACTGCCCACTGCTGTGACTGACACACACACTACTGAGTTTAGATTCTTTGCAGGTTCAAAATCTGCAATGTCTTAACCTGTTTAACCTCTATGCTTATAACTTCTTATTCCAGAATTGTTCAGTTTTATTTCATGATCACCCAAAGCACCTCAAACAGCAGACATTTCTCACGGTGTCTGCTTGCTGCTTTCTTCCATTGCAGAGATATTAAGGACTGTGTCCTGAAGTAACAATGGGTCCAAATGAGGAAGGTAGCCAGGGCATTGCAGCCTTAACCTTTGAATCAGACACTGATTATCATGCATAGAACAGAACCCTTGTTTTATCTTGAATTTGCTAGTGATGCTGCATAGCCCTACGTGTGGTTCTTACATGAGTAGCTGAACACCAGAGAAAAAAAGTTGTAAGACCCTCCCTTTAGCAAGCCAGCAATGCCCACAGCAAGCTTAGCTAAAAATGACACAAAAAGCTCTGAAAGGGTCCAGATTCTACTAGGCACACTTCCATTCAACCCTTCTACCAAACAAGTCATGGCAGCATCTCTTGGCCACCTCGTGTAAGTCTCTGGTCCCTCTTTACCTGAAAAACTTGAGGAATAGTAGGAAAAAGGACAGCAAAAACTCTTTGGGTGAAGTCCCCTGCTTTCTCCCCCAACCCCTTTTCACCTTCCTGGTTTTACAAGTTAATTCCAACATGAATGAAAGAAAGATTTGCTCTTTTCTCGAGCCTCTTGGACTCAAAGGTCCTTGTGGGTTCCTTCCAGCTTGGGGTATTCTATTATTCTTCTATAAAAAGAGGACTGAGAGGAACACAAATATCATGAGAACACAGAATATGTCAAGGAAACAGATGTCTGATCCCACTGATGCAACTTCCTACTGGTTGTCATTACCATTTCCCCCTTTTTAGAGCTATGTCATTCCGGTGCATTCCATTCTGATACACCAGTAACACCTGCTCCACCACTATCCAGCCAAGTGCCAGGAGGCAGACAACACATCTTCCTTTTCCCTGCCATCCAGAACGTAAGAAAACTGCTACTCTTGCACTCCAGGTGGGAGGACAAACCATGGTCAGCTTAGCAATTAAACACCTTGTCTATTTAGCATGACTGGGATTTGGCCACCTGACCCCAAGAGGAACTGTTAATCCTCCTCTTTTAATACTTGCTGCTGCATGGAGGCACAGTCCAAAGTGCAGGAAGAGAGTATTCATTTTCTTATCATAGTTCAGTCATGTTGACTAACACAGATTAGCTTACCAGTAGAACTCTCAAGAGGATAATGAAATGGGAAGAGGAGTGGTCAACAACCATGCAATAAGGCCCCGTAGCTATTTCTCTCTTCAGCTAAGATGGAATTGTTACAGAACGTGGATTTTACAGCACTTCCTTACAATAAATATGTTGCCATCAGCTCGGAATGTGCAGCTCAAACCAAGAGCAGGATTTTATTTGGAATGCTTAGAAACAGCCAAATAGGAAAGGGGAACAGATGACACATGGAAGAACTCTAAAAACATTAATTAATTAGTTAATTTTAAAAATTGCAGTGCTTTGGAAAGTACACGAACAAACAACTTCATATCAGACACACCCTGGTAGCAAACAATCAGGGAAGGTCTGATGTTTTGCCTGGGCAGGAGCATTGCGGATAAGGTTTGTGAACAATAATTAGTAACAATGAATTCCTTTGGCCATCGAGAGACCAAGCATGATTCAATGGATGAGTGCTGCTTAGAAACAAGGGATGACAGGAAAGATTTGATCCAGCTGAAGACCTCAAATCAAATGTTTTACACAGATACCAAGGACTGAGGTCAGTCTCTCCCACACCATCAAAAGAGAATGTTCCAAGAGACTTTGTATCAGATACATAGTTGGACAGCACCCAGTCACACAACATTAAACCATAATGCTAATAAGTGTCTGTCTCCACAAATCCAAACAGTTGCTGCATTTTAGCATATGTGGATATTTTATGTCTGTGGAAGACAGAACAGCTCAGAAATAAGTCACTGCTACTTCAGTGCTCAAAATTATCAAGCACAGACAAGATAACAGTTAAAAAAAAATTCTAATATATTACTGAGTAACTGGAAGAAGATCCACAGTCTCTGATGCATGCACTGTTATGACTGGCTGAAATTCTTCTCCAGGGAGGCATTACAATCATAGTTTAAAAATTCATCCTCTCCCTCCCAGGTTCCCATTAGCGTTTGACCACAGCAATACCAGCAATTAATCATTCATGCTAACTACAAACATTTCTCATATTGCTCTGTGCTGGGAGGTGAGACCATCTTACAACCGCTTTGATAATAGTAAATGCTAGTCCTAGGAATGAGCTAAATTCCTGAGATATTGGCTCAGCCCCTTCTTCACTACATCCAGTATCTCAGCAGTTCTCAAATCCTGCTTACCCGTTTTTCTTTGGGAAGTGTCTCTGGAAGCAAGAAGAAGATGAAAATCAAGTCAGCTGCAGCAAACGTGAGTGCTAATAATGCTGAACGACGATAGAAGACTTCTCCTTTTTCTGTCTCCATGGCTAGATAAGCTCCAATCATGGGACCCAGGGTAAAACCGAGGGAGAAAGCAACACCAATCATTGCCTGCAGAGATACAAACAGACATTGACACGAAGTTTTAGACACCAGTTTGTAAGTTAGCTCAATTCTAAAACTAGGCCCTTGGCATTTGCCTTAAAGAAGTGTAAACATCAAATGTAGCCACCTTGAGGATGTAAGGAATGCACAGCAAACAGCACTGAATGTGAAAAAGCTGTTATTTCCAAATAGCCCATTTTATTTTCATCTTAGCAGCAAAGTGGCAGTGACAAGCTGCAGTTTGATGAAGGGATATCTAGGGATACCATTCCTTGTATGATTATGAATGAAAGGAAATTGAGAAAGGCAAGAATGACTCTCACCTCAGGAACTGCTCAGCCAGCAGATCCTTCAGCCACAGCATAAACTTTAGTAGTGTAAAACTACTACTGTTTTGGAGAAGGAAGGATAGCACCATGGTAGGAAAACACAGTGATCATAGAATAGCCTGGGTTGAAAAAGACCACAGTGATCATCCAGTTTCAGTCCCCTGCTATGTGGTGCCAACCAGCAGACCAGGCTGCCCAGAGCCACATCCAGCCTGGCCTTGAATACCTCCAGGGATGGGGCATCCATAACCTCCTTGGGCAACCTGTTCCAGTGCATCACCACCCTCTGTGTGAAAAACTTCCTCCCAGTATCTAACCTAAACCTCCCCTGTCTCAGTTTAAAACCATTCCCCCTTGTCCTATCACTGTCCACCCTTATAAATAGCTGTTCCCCCTCCTGTTTATTTTCTCCCTTCCAGTATTGGAAGGCCACAATGAGGTTCCCCCAGAAACTTCTCTTCTCCAAGCTAAACAAGCCCATTTCTCTCAACCTTTCTTCATAGGGGAAGTGCTCCAGCCCTCTGATCATTTTAGTGACCCTCCTCTGGACCTGCTCCGAGAGCTCTACAATGTCTACAGCTTCTAAATTGATTTGATAATTTTTGAATTTAGAACATAGCAAACAATGAGAGGCTTCTCAGAACTACCTGGGTGTAGTACAGTACTAAAGAGGATTTATTAACTCACCATGAAATCAGCACATAGGAAAGGAGGTAGAAACTGCACATACCAAATGAGAGCTTAGCAGAACACTGATTTGAGTCATTTGTCTCAGTCAAACTGCTTAAGAATACAACAGTGCAGAATGTGCTTCACTTTCTTTAAGAGACATGCTGAGACATATATTCACACATGCAGGACCTAGACTTGTGCCACACCAGGAGACCATTTTCTTGCTTTTTTAGTCTTTAGACTTTACCTGTAGTACTAAACTAAAGGAGGTGAGATCATGTTCCTGTTCTGTTTCAGCCTGCCCAAGTAGCATTCTCTCAGGCAATACTACAGCACAGTTTGGGAATAGCATCAGTCAGGACTCTTTCCAAAAAGCAGAATGAACATGCCTACTCTGCTTTGAAAAAGAAGAGAAGACATAGTTTAGCCATATGGATGTCAGCCATGCTGTACTAAACTACTTGCTCTCAAGCCCTAAAAATAAGATGTGACCCATTTTATTTACTAGTGCTGTATGGCTGTCCTTCCCCATAAATTTATTTTTGTTCACCAGGATTATAATAAATAGTTTGGAAAATTCATTAGCTATCACTGTGAAATCCCCTCCCAAGAAGCAGCTGTCCCACATAATGATTTATAATGCTGTTAATAGAGGTTTGGGGCCCTGAGGCTTTTATAAAATACAAGATCTAACTAGCAATCCACAGCCAAAGTTCAGCCTGTAGGGTGTTTCCATCTGGTCTGCTGCCTTTTAGAAGAGGAAAGGGCAGCTGTTTGTAACACTTGCTGCTCAGTCAGCCAAACACCACATCCACCACCCGCCGAGCCCAGATCCTAAAGTCAGTGCATCATCCAATGAAGGCAGGAGGCATATTGGGCAGTGCTGCTGCACTTCCACAGAAAGGTTAGAAAAATGGGTTGTCCTATAACTGGGCTCCTGTTACCAAAATCGGGCCATTCTGAGATGAAAGATCTTTCATTTTCTCAGCTGTTATAATTGGGATTAAAGTTATCAACAGGAGTAATAGATTTAACACTTAGGTCTGTAGTTGTTTTCACATCTAGGACACCTGCACTTCACTTGTAGGTAAAAGTCATTGACAAGTACAGGCTGAGAGCTCACCAGCAAAGTGACCTGGCATGTTTTCAAAAGCAACATAATATTAAAGTCATGTTTTCACTTGATCAATGAACTCACATCTGAGGAAGACAGCCTGAGCATTTGAAATCAATTAAGAGAGAGCCAATAAAGCCAAGTATGTATCTCACATGTGTTACTCACCATGCCCTTGCTCCGTGCTTTTGGAGAGTGCAAGTCAGCAATTATAGCTGTGCAGAGGCTGACATTCCCTTTGCTTATTCCACCTATCATCCTGGAGAGAAGAAAAACTCCGAAAGACCGAGATGCAGCCCATAGTGCATAAGATGCTATCAAACCCATCTGCAAGCAAGAAAGGGTTTCTTATAAAGGGCAGGAAAATGTATCTTGTTTTTGCACATTTTCCTGCTCAACATTTGTTTTGTTTGTTTTGTTTTCCTGACTTTCAACAGCTGCTCCAAAAACTATACAACAGACACACATGAATATACTGATACTGGCAATATCCTGGAGAGCAATACAAAAGAGTAGAAACAAAGCCACAAAACCTCCATGTAACTGTGAGACTACCAATAGAATTAGAAGATCAAGGAAAACTCAAAGGAGCTAAATCAGTCCAGGTATAAGACCACCTTAGTACATGCTGTTCCATTTGTTCCCAAGAGAATTTTGAGTTCAAAATAAGAGCTCACAGGTCTAGCCACTAAATTTCATAATCAATCGTAAACACATATACTTCTTTAGCTCAGTCTCCACAGCCCTACAGGACAGCTGGCTTTGGATATCAGTCATAGCTAAGTTCCATCATGTATGTATGTACATGCTTCTGTAACTAGAGCCCTGTACTTTGACAAGTTTTGAGAGAAAACTTCTTGAAGAATGATCATTTCCATAAGAAAAGTAATATAGGACTGCCTGACCAACAAACCCCAGGCTCTCTGAAACAGGTCATGAAGTGATCAGCCCTCGGGCACTTGGGGAATTCAATATACAGGGATTACGTCTCACATTTGCAAACTGTACATCTGAAGTCAGACTCTCATACGCAAAGGTAAGGAATTTTGGAAAATCCCAGAAACAGGTATTTTGGTGCCTTTTATGTACAACTATAGATCTGGGAACTTCAGTTTAAGCAATCTGTTTTGGAAGTGTAACCTAAGTGACTTGGCAGGAAGTCAGCAACCACCAGATCTAGAAAACTGAAGCTCCCATCTTCTGTGCTAGCCACAGGACCATAGTGCCTTCAACTGCATAGTGAAATAACATGACTAGAACCAGTGTGAGACACATACCGCTGTCATCAAGATGACTGGCCTTCTGCCCAAGCAGTCTGACACAGCTCCAGTGAGGGGAGAGGAGAAAAACTGAAGGATGGAAAACATTGAGCCAATCAGACCTAAAAAAGTAAATAAAAAATAAAAATGCATATCATCAGATGTGCTGCCTTCATCTTCAGATACCAAGTCAAACTGTTCCAGACCTATCACTCATTATGCCCATTAAAAACACACAATTAAATGTAGAAAAACATCTACAAAAAATAGCATAGTCTCTGAAACCAAGTCACCCTCAGAACACTGATGTTCCATTGTTATTTCATTGAGTAGGCAAATCCACAGACAGACCAGAGTAATAGGGATAAGCTGGATGAGTCACTGGTTACTTCATGGGTGAGGAGTGGTTTGAAACTCACTGGTTATAATGGTACACAGATTTTCCAATGTTTTCCAAACTGACTTCATATATTTTCTGTTCCTAATGCAGAGATAATGCAGCCTTTAATAGTCATTAATTCTTTTAAGAATTTTTTTGATTGTTTGAACCTGATTCTGCCACGTATAATTAGCTTTCCTTTTCTTCTTATCATGGAAAGAAGGACATAAGCACTGCTGTTAGAGAGGCACACTAAGAGGTCAGAGTGATTCCAACAGACTCCAAGAGTCTTTTGAAATCTGCCTCAAGCTTCTGTGATCTTTAATTCCTCTTTTCTCTTGCCATCTCAATCTTCACATACACATTAATTTGCACTACGCTCTCAACAAGAAGGCAAATAAATGCCTTGCTGTCACAATTTTTCCTCTGAAGAAAAAACTAGGTTATGCATCTCAGATCATCCTGTTATCAAAGCTAAAAAAGACTGAGGAGAGAGAGATGAGAAGTACTGCTCCCACAAAGCTTAAAGGAAGCAGAATAATGATACTGGATACTTCAAGGGGGAGCAGTTCCTAATAGCTCAAAAGTCTAAAAGATTCTTATAGTTCCACACACTGACAGTTTAAGTTATGGAGAGAAGTTTTCTTCTTTGTATGCCAAGCACCACAAATGCCCAGCCATGCCAAATACAACAGGAACAAGCTGGGAGCTGGGGGTGACAACACTGGCAGTACCCTCGCTAGCCACAGTGTGGACTGGGCAGAGCAGGGTTCCACAAGCAGAGTCTGTCTGGTGACAGTTTGAGGCAAAACAAGTGGAAATAAGGCTGTACCTATGATACAGCTTAGGTGTGGGCCCAAGCCTGAGCTGAAATACAGCTCCTGAGTCACTGGGCAGAAGGGGTAGGCAGCAGCTGGTCAAGGCAGTTATACTTTGGCAGCCAAGGCAAGAGCCTTGACATCAGCAAGGAAGATTTCTGTCTTGAAGAGGTTGCAGTCTAAGCAATGATGAAAGACAGCAGAATATACCCTGCACTGGGAGAAATAAGATAACCTTGCAAATATCTTTCCAATTCTGTGCTCTGTGCTGCAGACTGGCAACAGGAAGATTGTGGTGGCCTCTGCTTAACATCAAAGTGTAATGAACCTTTCCACTATAAACATTTAAGGTGCAGTCAGAAAAGATGGGCTGAAAGAGCAGCTGACTACAACTGAGAAAGCCTGTCCATCTTTCCCTGCTCCTGCAGCCTTGGTCAGCTCTCCAGCGAGCAAATTCAACTCAATCTGGCAGAAAGCTAATCTAGGAAAAAGAAAAGGCTTCCATTGGTTTAGGAAATCAGATGGTTAAGAGGGGCTGTCAGCAAAGCCAGCAGAAGAGATGGAATCAAATGTAGCATCCACTCTCACTGCCCACAGCTGTCAGGTAATTAGTGGACATTCCCATCATTGCCCATTACAGCTCCTAAACGCTTTTCTCCTAAACAGACAATATCAAGAGGTAAAAGCTTCCTTCCCGAGACAAACATTTTATCTGTGTGTTCCCAGCTACATGTTATATTTTCTTCAATGAACAAAAGGGTCAGGTCAGGTGGATCTCTCTGGAAAGAGAAAAGAGATTTCTCCTTCCCCGTGAAAGTCACTGAGCCAAACCCAGGGATATAGCACTCCCAGGAACGCAGGACACAGCAAGGAAAGTGAAAGGCAGCAAGTTGGACATGACTGTGAGCTCCAGTCCCTTGTTTGAGTAGAGCCTGACATTGTGAGGAGCGAGGAGGAGGAAGCCTGCAGCCAGAGACAAAACAGTTTCTGAGGGATTAAACTGTTTCCTACCATTCAAAGCCAGTAATCTGAATGAATGTGAGCACTGGGTTTCCCATACAACCTATGTGGGAGCTTACCCATCTTGGAGTGTTCTAGTGACAGCAAAGGATTTTGGACCCTACAGGTCAGCAGCTCTGTATTTAATAGGACTAATAAGACCTAGAAGCAGTGCTGCACTATAGCTGCCTAGGGGAGGTAGGACTTGAACTCACAGGTTTCCAATTCCGGTGTTTCCTACTGACTGATCTCCAATCAGTTGTGAAAGGAGAGTAATTTCTGTGACCATGCAGGGTCTAGCACAGCAGGCTCCTAACTCTCAGCTAGCAGTCCAACAATAAGGCCTATATTTCTGAAACAATCTGAAGAACAAATTAGGATACTTCAGGTTAAAAGGGACCTCTGAAAAAAGTCAGTCCAGTGGCTTACAGGATCAACTCTGAGGTCACTGGTTCATCCTGTCAGTTTGAGAACATCTGAGGATGGAGACCACAACACCCTTCTGGGCAGTTTGCTCCACTGACCATCATCACTGTGAAAAAGTTTCTCCTTATTTCCAGCCTGAACATCTCTTCCTTTAGACCTATGCCTTGCTGCCTCGCCTGCTACCATGCACTTCAGTAAAGAGCTTCATAGCCTTCTCCACAATCCTTCCATTGTTACTGTAAGGCTGCCAATAGTTCTAGGCTGCCTCAGCCTTTCCATCTTCACAGCCCTCTGCTGAACTCTCTGCAGTTTATGGATGCCGTCTTTGTACTGAGTAGTACAAAACTGTACACAGTGCACATTATGTGTACTAACAAGTGCTGAGTGGAGGGAGATGATCACTTCCCTCCCTCTGCTGGCCCTGCTCCTGCTCACACTGCCCAAGTGCTTTTGGTGCCCTTGCTGCTGGGCACACTGCAGGCTCATCTTGCTGTTCACCAGGACCCTGAGGACCTTTACAGCAAGGCTGCTTCTTGCCAGTCAGTGCCCAGCCCATATCAACAACAGGGAATAGCCCTTTCCAAGGGCAGGACCTCACATTTGTCCTCACTGAATTTCATGAAGTTCTTGTTGGATCATTCCTCCTGCCTGTCTAGATGCCTCCAAATGACAGAGATGTGCTGTCCAAATAATTCCTCTTTGTTAGTTTTACAAAAACAAAATCATTTATAGCCTACTGTAAGAGATAAAAATATGCTACTTGTGGTAATTTTTTGTGTTTTTCTTTTTGTTTGTTTGCTTGTTTTTGGTCAATTTTTGATCATTCCTCACAACAACATTGAGGTAACTTGAAAATAATGCAATTTTTTTTTTATTATTATTTTTTTTAATTCCATACCTCCAAACAAGACACTGTTGTATTTCCTCTCTGGAGGCATTCCAACCATTGCTGCAAACCAGTCCACTCCACGTTGCAATGACAAATAGAATCCATCCTGCAAAACAGATAGCTGGGAAATAGAAGCAGGAAGATTGTTTCTCTGCTTTATTTCCAAAGACAGCATCAGAGCTTAGTGAACTAGTCATGATGTTAAACAATTCCTTCTCTCCTCCTCCCAGGGAAAATTTCCTGTTGTCATAGGCTAAAAATAGCTTAAACTGTGAATGCTAATATGGAACAGGTAATTGAGGATATGTCTTTGGGTGGGCAGATGTCTGGATTAGAATTTTTTAAACTATCAGTCCCACTACTTCTAAAATCTAGACTAAAAAAGGATGTTCCACATCCTTCAATTAATAAAGCAGCCTGAGAGACACTCTATCCCTCTACAGATAGAGTACAGTTGATCTAGACTGGGAGAGCCAGGGTTGTTAGCTCCACAGAAAAGAAGAGGTGGAGAAAAAAAGAATGACTCCTGAGATGAGGAGGAGGGCTTGAAAAGAGGGTCCTGGAAAAAAAGGTGAAAATCCTGGCTAGAAGAAAAACTTTGGAAGCAGAGGAAGATCCCAGTGGTTACAGTCAGGGTTAGAGACAGAATAGGAGGAAAGACAAAGCCTACAGCTGCAGCTGGAGTGGGGCTGGAAAGGGACTCTGAGATAGAGGTGTGGGCTGCAAAAATAATTCTCCCCTGACAACTTCATCTTATCTGCTAACAAACACCTGACAGTGGAAGCCATGAGCAGCTGCACAGCATGGAATCAATACGACTTTCTGCCCTTCATTCCTAGATCAGTAGTCATCTCTCCTCTAAGAACAGATGTTGAAAATAGTGAATGTGATGCTAGGGGTGGGAGAAAGTAGGATCTCCTAAGAGGTGACCCCACAACCTCTCTGGGCAGCCTGTACCAGCGCTCCACCACCCACAAAGCACAGAAGTACTTTCTGATGTATAGATAAAACCTCCTGTGTTCCTGTTTGTGCCTACTGCCTCTTGTCCTGGCACTGGGAACCACTGAACAAAGCTTACTCTATCCTCTTTGCACTCTCCCTTCAGGGACAAGTCTTTATAGACGTTGATGAAATCCCCATGAGCTTCTTTTTCTTCAGGCTGAGCAGTCCCAGCTCTCAGCATCTCCAGCAGAGGTGTGCCAGTTCCTCCCTTGGTCATCTTGGTGGCTTCTGCTGGACTTTTTCTGCAAGTCCATGGCTCTTTTGTATTGGGGGGTGCAGGGCTGGACACAATACTCAGGTGCAGCTTCACCAACACTGAGTTGAGAAGAAGGATCATCTTTCTTCATCAGCAGTGCTTTGCCTAGAGCAGCTAAGAATACCATTAGCCTTCTTGGCAGCAAGGACACGTCGTTGTTCCATGCTCAACTCGGTGTCCACCAGAACTGCTTTCCAGATGGATGTCCCCAGCACGTCCTGGTGCCTGGGCCTGTTCCTCCCCAGCTGCAGGGCTCGGAACCTCTTGCTGAATTTCAGGAAGTTCTCATCAGCCCAGCTCCTCAGCCTATCCAGTCCACCCAATTCAGTCCTTAGCTACCACTGGTGAATGAATTATGAAAACCTCTTAGGGACTTCTTGCTGATACCACTGCTCTCAGCAGCCAGATGATAAGGGATGGATTTTGCATACAATAATGTATGATTCAATTACGGAGCACATCATGCATTTAGGCATTAGCGTCTGGCTCTTTGTTTTGATAAAAGAGCCTGGGGGAAACTAAGTTATCAGCTAGATACAAATGCATCTTATACTGCAGCCAGATCTTCTATATCCCAGTTTTCAGAACTAAACAGCACTCAAAAGCAACACACATTATGACACATGAAAGCATTCATCTTTTAGATGACATGAAGGTCATTGCAACAAACAACCAAATGAATAGGAAGAGCCAGGGCCAGTATAAAGTAATTACAAAGAACAGCCGACAGGAAATAACTGAATTTTCCCTTAGAACAAATCTCTCATTTCAGTGAAACAGCAAGAAAGAGGAATCTTACCTAAGTTCACAAAAAAATAAATATAAAAAATAATCACTCCACGAACAGTTTAAATGTGCTGGATGTTGTTTTGCCTACAGCTATTTGGGTTGCCCTGAAACAAAGGAATTTTCTTCTATCCTTCCTTAAATGTCTCATGCCTAACATTTTCAGCAAGCTGCCTTCCTCTATTGCTTACCTCAGTCTGGCTGTAATAATCAAGGATGGAAGGAAACAATGGCAAAATGAGAGCAAATCCCAACAAGTCGATGAGGAGTGCCAGGAAGACAATTGTAATAACACGACTGCAGTTCTGCTCTTGCTTGTCATCGGCGGAGCTGCTGCTGGCTTCTCTCTCTCTCAGAGCCATGTTCCCAAGTGCTCTGATCCTAAAAAATTACATTTATATCCAGTTAACAGAAAACATTTTGCAGGCTTTTCATAACAGTATTTTACTGATTCATTCTTGCTTTTTATGGATCTCATAATAGTAAATACAAGTTATGGCCATATTAAACTACCTGGTTTTCAAAGGGAACAGGACTTCATCTGTCTAGACTTGGTTCTTAGCTCGGTACCAAACTTATCCTCATGAAAACCGAGCAACGAAGGCAATAAGATTATAAACTCTTTTAGAAAAACATCCTAAATATAGTATAGGACTAAGGAGCATTTAAAGTTTGTTAACAAGTGAGTAAGCTTTACCAAATGTTTTAAATTCAGCATTACTGTAAAACAGACAAGGTGCTCTCATTTTGATTATCTGCATTCAAGTAACTAATAGACTTCTTATGCCTTCAGAGTACACTGTAAATGACTACAGTAATACCACTTGATAAGAAAAAAAAGAAGGTAAACTTCCAAACTATTGCAGGAATGCTGCCCTCGGGACAAATCCTGCACAGCTGGACAGCAGCAGATGCTTCAGAAAAAAGACAACTAGTTTTTGAAACTTTCTCTTCTTAATTTCTGTCTGACAGCCACTGACAGGATATGAACTGGGGCATCAAATGACTGAGGCAGCATTTCAGTCTGTCAGAATTATCAGAACTATCAGAAGGAACTTTCTCTTTGAAAACATTCCAAAACAGTGTTAAAGACCTAAACAAGGATGCAGACATTCAGTATTTAACAAATAAAAAAGTCAGGCCATATTCTGAAAAACTTCCACTTCAACAAATATCAAACACACAGAGCAATACAAAAACTGTGAATTGCAGATTTGTAAAACATTACAGTACATCTTCGTAATAAGACAGTGAAGCCCCATACACTGCAAAAATCCCTGAATATTTGTTACGTTAAAAGAGGAAAAAAGGAAACTGTTTAATTCAGCTGAAAGTGCAATACCAAAAAAAACCCATTGGTTTTAATAAATCAGGACAGAAAACACTGAGCACATTTTTATACAAATCCTATCCTAGACAAGACATACCGTATTCGACATGCAAGATACTGTGTATATATAACATCCTGCTATACTAACTGAAGATCTAACACTTTGTTATGCTCAGTTATAAATATTTTCATGACATTTCCTTACTTGTGGATTCAATTTACCAGCACTGAAGTGTTGTTAAAGTTCAAACACCATGAGGTAACCATGGAAGGGGGCCACATGCAATCTGTTTAAGTTGGCATAATACATTTAAATCTGCTGGTGAGCAGAGTTTGGGTGTGTTCAGAACCAACAAATAACAGTTCGGTTGTGTTCAGGACCATAGAATCATAGAATATCCCAAGTTGGAAGGGACTCACCAGGATCATTGAGTCCACCTCCCGGCTCCACACAGGACCTCCCAAACCCAAACCCAATGTCTGAGAGCAGCGTCCAAACACCCCTTGAGCTCCAGCAGCTCAGGGCTGTGCCCACTGCCCTGGGCAGCACTTTCCATGCCCACCCTGTGGTGCAGACCCTTTCTCTAACCCCCAGCAGCCCCTCCCCTGACACAGCTCCATGCCGTTCCCTCGGACCCTGTTGCTGTCACGCAGAGCAGAGCTCAGCGCTGCCCCTCCGCTCCCTGTGAGGAGCAGCAGCTGCCATGATGCCTCCCCGCAGCTTCTCTGCCCTGTGCTGAACAAACCAAACAACTTCAGCTGCTCCTCATGTCTTCCCCTCCAGACCTTTCTTTGTAGTTCCCCTGTGGACACTCTCTAACAGTTCTTTGTTCTTTTTGTACTGTGGTATGCCAAACTGGACACAGTAAACTCCCAAATCTCTATCAGCAGGGTTGCCTCCTGAGTCTCGTCCCCAAGTTGGTACGTAGAGCCATGGTTGCTTCTTCTCAGGATCAGAATTTGGCACTTTAAACTTTGTGCAATATCCTTTTATTTAAAATGATATGTCATCAACACTACAAGTACTTTGCAGTACTTACTTACCCAAAGGACTTAAGAGTCTCTGGAACCCAAAGCAGCCATTTGTTTAGACAAAATCCTTGGCTCTGAGTCTGCCTAGCCAAGGGATGGGTTCACTATGGCAACATTTATCTTGTTTTTCCTAACAATTTGTGTATTCATTCACAGAACTGTATCGCCAAGCTGAACTTTACTGCAATGTTCCTTACGTAGGGTGACATCCTTTACACGTAAATCACTGCCATTTCAGCTTGTGTGCAGCTTGAACCTGCTGATGCCAGCACTGACCTTTCAGGTAGCAGAGTTTGGGCTACATGACTGCAATTTCCCTTACACAACCTTCCAAAGCACTCCATCTTTCTGCCTTTGTGCTCCCTAGCTTTTGTAGCTCCAACCTCTCCATTTTTTTTTTTTTGTTTCTTTTTTTGTTTTTTTTTTTGCTAGGCAGGAAACCACAAAACATTTTATTAGGCCCCGGCATCCCATCAGCAAAAACAAAGCACTTCACTTCGACCGTAACACTTGATCCTTGTGAGTCACGGTTTAATGCCGGAGGGAGATCTGCTCCCTCGGCTGTTCCACGTTCCTGATCTCTCCACCACCTGGAGGCCCGGCCTCGCCACCCGATACTCCCTTACCGACCCTCTTGAAACAGCCCAGCTCTGCCTCGGGGAGGCTCCTCCGAGCGTTTAACAAAGTCCTGGCTCAGCTTAAGTGCTGAATTTTTTAACCAGGACAAAACTATGTATATATAAATGAAAAAATTCCCAGAGCGGCACAAAAGCAGAGGAAACCCGAGCGGGGGAAGGGGCGGCCCTTCGGAGATGCGTCGTCCTCAGCGCGGACCCGCAGTCCCGGCCGCCGCCCCGGCAGAGCCGCAGGGAGCCGCCGGCAGCCGCAGTGCCGCCGATGCGAGGCCGCGCCCGGCCCGGCCGCCCTCCGTCTCTCTCTCTCCCTCCCACCCTCCGGCAGAGCCAGCCCCGCGCCAGGCCACCTACCGCTCCTCCGCCCGCCGAGAGCCGTCCCTAGGGATGCTGCGGGCGGCGGCTCCTCCCCGGCTCTCCTCGGCGCCCGGCGGCCTTCCTCTTCCGGCCGGGGATGCAGCCGTGCGCCCTGAGGAGGAGCCGCCTCCCGCCGCGCCGAGCGGAGCCGCGGTGCCGCGCCGTGCCGACACCGTGAGGGGGCAACGGCCGCCCCTCAAACCGAGCGCCGACCTGCTGAGGAGCGCCGCTTCAGCGGGCTTTCAGTCGCAACTAAGACAGCCCGAGCCCTAATGTGTTGCGAATTTAAATCTTTACCTCACACTGCAGCAGTTCCTTCTTGCGTTAACGATTTTGGCTGTTCCAAGAGAAGAAAGACGTTCTTCTCTTAGTGGCTACATAGTTAGAGCAGCTGTTAGCCAGGTTTTGGTTGGACAGATTTCCGGCTGTCTGAACGACAGAAAAAGGCAAAGTTCCTTTTATTTCTAAAGGGGCTGCTCTAAAGCAAACTGCTGCTTCCTAACACCGAGTTTTAGAACACACAGAATGTGAATATGGTGTTAATACCACTGCCCAAAGCTGTTCTGCTGCCTGACTGCCTGGAATACAATGCAAGTATGCGGGCACAAGTGTACTGAAAACATGCATCTTCATCATCTCAACTACATCAGGAAATAAAGCAATGCATTTTTTTTTAAAGACCTTCTTGTTCCCTTGAAGGAAACGTATTCCTGCTGGTGATGCTGCTGCTGCTGATACTTACGAACACTTAAATGGGGACCTCACACCTGATGGTGCGTTGCAGGTTCCTCAGTAGATAAGATTACCCAAATCTAACCTAAATGTGACATCAGGATAACAATTAGGTCAAACAGAGAGCTGCCGTTCTCTTGCTTATGCGAGCATTTACATACCCAGTTCAGTAGGAAGAAAGGAATTTCATAGGATAGCACCTCACAGTATCACATAATGAATATTAGTACTATGCCAAATACTTAAAGACATCAACCTCTGCCCAGCAGAGGAGTAGGAGCACAGTTGTTGTTTCACAATAAGCTTAATGCTGAGTCTGTAGCATCCTCAGTGCCTCAACACAGCAGAAGCTGGTGGTGGAAAGCAATAGCTTACACGAAATATGGTTACACCGAGGTAGATGACAACTTCTGCAAGACATGACTGGTAACATCGAACTGCATGCTAATTTCAACTGACAACCCAGAAGAGTGAACTTTTGATTAAAAAAAAAAAGCTTTCATGCTTGCATAAATAAGGAAATTTATGCAATTTCTTGCTGAACAGTTTTGTTCTCCCCATTCCTTTACAGTATTTAGAGTGGCTGTTCTCTGGGACAGCTGATGCTGACAGGTAAGCTACCTTGAACAGTCAGTTGAACTGAAGGCAAAATGGTAACTTTCCTTCTTTGTGTGTCTCATTGATTGTAGTTACAGAATAGCTTTGGTTGGTTGTTTTTTCTTTTTCTTTTTTTTCCCCCTTAATTAGTAACAGATTTAAAATTCATAACAGATGCATCACAAAAGGCCAGGAGTTGTTATGACAACTCCTGCTTTAAGAGCAACACCGAGACAAGAGAGTAATTGGTGAACGTGTTCAAGAAACTGAGTTCATCTTGTTCATATGAAAGCCCAGAGCTTCTTAGCCCCTTCTGTGGCATCAGGACACCACATCTGCCTAGCATGGAAAACAACTGGACCACGCTGATCATTAAGCTGAGGCAATCCTTTGTTTCTATTCACGTAAACCACTACATGTTATGCATTACTATTATTCCATGGAATACAATACTAAATCTGATACTAAATATTAACAATACTCTTTCTTAAAAGTGCACATGGTAATTTTCATTCAGCATCTGAAGTACTTCTGATTTCAATCTAGCAAAAAACAGTTGCATGAATTTGTCAGCTGAGATTTCCCTGTCCTTTACCTTCTCTCCTCAGAATCCTAAGATATTCTTGCTCCTTACCTCCTCCCAGTAAATGCACTCTTCCACAAACACTACCATCCCATCTTATTCATGTCTATTTTTTACTTCTCTCTCTCGTGGAGGAATAATAAGCAGCTGCAAGAGGTATCAAAACTTGCTGCCTGCCCCAGATCAAAATACAGCTGTCAGACTCTCTGTGATTTTAATACCCAGCTGTGTAAATCCTCTTGAAGCTACTTGCTGTTGGAAAATAAAGTCAGATAAACTGTAATACTTTTTTTGACAGTTTAATTGTGCAAAAGACAAAAACTGAAGATGGAAAGTGCTGATTTATAACATGAAATAAGAAATTAGGTTCCTTCCTCACTGCTTCACTCTTAAGTTCTTGTCTTGAACCAAGAAGTATATATGTATACTTTTTAAGATAATGATAATCTATCTTTTGTTATTTTGGGCAAAGGAAGGAAAAAAAAATAAATCTCCACGCTGTGCCAAATGGAAATAAAACAGGAGGCACACTGATCTGCTGAGATCTCTTTGAAGTTTCTGGAGATAGCTTTACTGATTTTGGAAAGGAGAACTGAAAATGTATTTTGTTTTCAAAAGTGTGAGTAGATTTCAAATACAGATACCTCATTTGTATGCGACAGGAATACCTCCCCACTGGTACTCAGTACCCAGCCTGTTTTAATACTGGTATTGCTTTTGTAAACTTGATGTTCACACATTAATTACTTTGTTACAGTTGCAATGAGAGAGCTACTATCTTCAAAGAAAAAACTCTTTTAAGAAACATACATAGGTAAACCTTTAAGTCTTACCTTACAAAGATAGTTCAGCCACGTGTTTAAGTGCAAAGCCAAAGAGTTTAACTCCCTCCCTCCTGGTTTTAGTCATGCTTCCAAGTTTCCTGTGGAAAAACAGCACAAGCAAAACTTTCTAAGACAATCTGAAACAACAAGAACTGTTAAATCAAATTTACTTCCAGCAAACCTTTCTTCACCAACAGCAGATGTTACCATTCCTGAATTACCCACTGGCCAGAAGAGTGCTTTGTGGTGTTTTTCTTTTTTGGTGGGGTTTTTGTAAAGAACCCTGGCTAATTATTTCATTTGTTCTAAGATTTTCTAGTTTGTTCTTTGCATTGATTCTCAAATGTTACTGTGATAGAGGATTTAATTTTTGTAATGCTTTTCTTCAAAACTTGTAATATTCTTTCATGCAAAAAAAACCTCTGTCCCTAGATTTATCAACAGATTACAATGAATGTCTGAGTTATGACCTAGTTTAGACTTGCACCTTCAAACAACTGTAGTGTTCTTTGTTTCAATTCAATGTTTCCTCACAAGCTAAGTTTTTTAAAAAGTACAATAAGTATTTACTGGCTCTACTTGAAAAGCAGATGTTTTCCACAGTTGTGCTAGGCAGTTCACTGTAATTACACATATATGATAAAACAAACAGAAGAGAATTAAAGAGGTTACTGTCAACTTAAATCAGATGTTTGCAAATATGCTGAGGAATTGTAGTTAACTGCCTTAGATAACCAAGAATTCGAGAGCTCAATTCAATCCAAAAATTACTGAAGAGATGAATGGATGCACAACTTTAATAAAGGACTTTTAAAAAAGTGCTTGAAAAGCAACTCCATTACTCCACCAAAACCATGAATTAGAATGAACCAATGCTAAAGAATAATTATAATATTACTGTTAAAGTTTCAAGAATATTACCACTATGAGAGCTGCTTGCAGTTATTCAATATTAAGGAGATATCAAAAAATTTTTGTTGTACAATCTGTGTAGTTTAGAATAGAAATAAAAAACTGTGTAGTTTAGATAGAAATAAACACTGATAATTCTGATTACTCATCCAAATACTGTTATTAAAATAAACAGAAATACACCACACACATACAAAAGTTTTATTTTTATTTTTCTTATTCACTTTCTCAGACAGATCTGATGATGTTATTTGCCTTAAAAGGAATGCATCCAAAGGATGCAATTAAAATCTGTGCAAAAGCCATACAATCATGGTACTTTATACAGCAGTAAAACCAAACTTTCTGTGTGTAGACAGTCCCAATTAGTTCTTCCCCTTTTTCCTTTTCATAGCTTTCCATTCACCTTCCTGTGTAGCAAGACTACCAAGAAGCTCTTTCACTTTTCTCTTTCTGGCTGAATCTCTGCAAAGGAAGCAATTAATATGTTAAATATTTCAGAAAGATTATACTAGGGAAAATAAATAAGTACATTTAGACTATACATATTCATCTATAGGAAGCTCCACAAATCTTAGATATCACCAGATAACTAAGAATTTTCTGCATGTTCTTATCTAGAGAAATGAAACTACAAAGTCGAAATTTAAAATGATCTCTAATGAAAATGTTTGTTTTCCCCAAACTGTCAATTTTTATTTCAAGTTTAATATTGTTTATCATCGCTGTCAGTCTCCCCACACAGCAAAAAAACGAACACACAGAATAACAACTCTTAAACTACTACTGAAGCAAAGGCTATGTTACCTCTCCATGATTTCTGAAAGCTGCATTCTAGCCAGAAACTGGTTGTCCTTCCGGATCTCACGAACAGCTCCTTTAAATTCACGTTTATGTTTGTGAATTAACCGCTTTCTTTCTTGTTCCTTTTTGCTGCCTCCCTGCTTTCTTCCAAACTCTAAACTGAAATGAAAATATGTATGTGAATACAGAACACTATGTAGTCAACTTGAAAAATAAGGAGCTGAGCATACCAGAAAAAGGATCACTGGTCAGCTGCATATCATCATCATGCAGATTATAAGCAGATAACATTTGCCAGAAAACAGATACTCCAATACCCCATAGTAGCTTGCATTTTGTTAAACAGATTGAAAAAGCTCGAGCAGAAAAATAAAAGGTACCTAGAGAAAGAGGGAATCTCCCAATATATTTTGCATTTTTGCAAACTTTCTCTACAGATGAACTCTAAAAAAAAAAAAGGGCCTGATCAGTTACAAGGGAATAAATATGCATGGCAGAGGAAAAGCTGTCTCCTTAAATTAGAATAAGAAAGACAAGTTTCTGCCCTTGCAGATAATAAACAGACCTAGATGAGTCAGCAGTCAATATAAATCAGACTTCCTGAACCAGAATACAGTTCTATCATCTACAAAAGGAATGAGCGCTATTTAAATTTAATTTCAAAAGAGAATATAAGAATGTACACGATCATTTTAAGCTCTAGAAAAAGAGAGAAAGAAAGCTCCATGTTTTTTGTGACTGCTATTGTTGAAAGGCAGAAAACTGCTTGGGTGGGAGGAAAAAGGAGTTGGTATATTTATAAGGATGCTTAATGTGATGCATTATCTGCTATGATCCGTGAGACAGAGTACAGGAGCAGTCTGCCTGCTCTTCTGCATCAGTGAAAAATCCCACAGCATTTCACCATTCATCTTTAATTTCATATATTTCAGTATGATTTTTTTATGAACTACTGGCCTTGAGACTCAAGTGCTTTGCACAGTACACAGTAATGTACCGTGTAGTAACAGCCTCTTTTCAACTTGAAATTTATTAATTTATAACTGATTAGACAGGCAGGAGTTGGTTCCCAGTGCTGCTTTTTCCCTCATAGGGTAATTTCTGCTGTTTCTTAGAATCTCTCCTTCCCTTTTCTTCCTCTCCCTACCACTGAGGTAGCTGGTCCTTTGCAGCTTGCGCATAAAATGCAACAGAGAAACAAAGTTTTATGTCCTGCTTTCCAAATCTTTTTAGCCGGAAACCTTAGCATCTGAATGCTTAGATGCACTTTTTCTTTTGCACTAAGCTTGATTTACTTACACTTTCACAATCTTAGGCGTATACTGTTTCAATGGCACTGGCTTCTTTTTCTCACATATCAGTGGGGTATAGTGCTTTGCTTTGTTCTCCAGCTCTTTCAGAGCACTGTGATACCATTCCTGAAAATGCAAATCAAATTCCAATTTCAAAAGTGTATTAGAGACACCATAATTCACAACCTACTGTAAATTAAATCAACAGCAATCTTCTCCCTGTATCATGTTCTTCTGAGAAAAACCATTGCTATTCATTAGGATACTGACAACATTGAAATGCTGTAAGCTTTCCAGGCCAGACATTTTTTAAACTCTTCAGGAATTTCACAAAGATGGAAACATGGGCAATCAAAAAGGTCTACAGATAATTTCACCTAACAGACGAATAAGCAAGTCCAAAGCTAGATCAATTCAAGAGCCACCTTTCAGAGGCATTTTAAGTAGAACTGCTAATTTTGTTTACTTTGATGGCAAAAACCAGGCCATTTTGCATCATCAACATTACAAAACTTTGTTCTCTATATTTTATAATGTCTCTTCGAGGAGAGGACAATTTTGCTATATCCTCAAGACAGATTAAAAAATATATATTTGAATTTAATTTAAGGTAAATAAACTGACTTCTTTTAATTGAAGTAGCAGACCAGGTGTACGTACGTTAATTACAATCTCATTAGCTTGGTATGTGTATTTGGTTGTTGTAAGCAAGTACTGCTCTCCTCAATTAGAAGGGCAAGATAAGACAGACAATGAAAAATATCTTCTAAACATTCTTTACTCTTCCTTGTTTTCTCCACACAAACATCACTATCATATTTGAAAATCACTTATAGCAATTACCTGACCTTTGAAAACATCTCACAGATTATTCTACTTTTTTTTTTTTCCCCCCCAAAGAACAGACAAAGATCACAGGATTTATTAATGAGCCAATTGTTTCAATTATTTCACACTGGAGGAACACGTACCTGCATTTGTTCAGGATATTCATTCGCTGACACACGCTGTGTCAGGAGTACTCTTATTGGATGCATTATTTCATGGAATGATGGTAAAAACTCATATAGAACTGCACATCTTTTAATAAGATCAAAACACAAGGCTAGACACGACAACCTGTTAATGTAGAAAATAATGTAACAATTTCACTTGCAAAAGCTGTACTGCACTGTCAAATAAAATGTATTACACTAATTACATTTTGGTGAATTAGCAGTGTCTATTATTAAGACTGTCTGACACAATCAGTTACAAGTCTGTTCCTGGCTGTTAATTCAGACTAGAATTTCACTCTCTTCATGGAAGCAAATACCCAAGAAAGCCATTAGCAACAACTGCTTATGTTGGTGCACAAAGGACAAAACAGTATTGTGTCTTTGCTGCTTGAGTAACAGGTTTTTACACTGGTTCTAACACTTCTTCAGAACAGAATTATGTTTTATGTTTAACTTTGTTCTTTCCTAACTGTAGTGTTTGATTACTTCTGTGACTCTTAGCCCTCGTAGGTAAATGCAGTATTTACTTCTGAAAAGCATGACAGCTCAAAGTATTGAGCACGTCCTCTGTATCTGCATCATCCCATCAGTCCACAACTGTA